TGTGTGCGCCTCACATGTAGAAGGGAACTGAAGAAAAAACTTCACTTGTAGATAACCATTTTTTAAAAGTGACCCTGCTTTCAAGAGAAAGAGCACATTTTACAGAAATACTGGAGTAGGGCCTTCACACATGATTTTGTCCCTGTTCGTAACAGACTATCAGGTTCCTACTAGGCGTCAGGAATGATGAAGAGGCCTCCCAGAGGGCTGGAGCCTCCGCAGCCTCAAGGAGCTTCTGGCATATTTCTCCCTCCACCGGCCACATTTTGACTAGTGACTGATCGCTTGATATGCTGGCTCTGGTTTGGGAGCCATCTGAGGAAACCAGAGTGGGGGTGTGCAGAGCTGCTGGTGCCGTGTGTGAGCCAAGGCCCAGTAACTCCTGGCAGCTTTTAGAATGCAGAGGGGCTTAATGATGTGAGAGCATTTTCTTACCTCTCCCTGTGTTTCCTTTTTATAGGATGTCTTCTTAATTTGCTTTTCTCTTGTGAGTCCTGCATCATTTGAAAATGTCCGTGCAAAGGTAAGTGAGGTTTTTGTGGAAAAATACATTGCTCTCTAATGTCACTCTCAGGAAGAAACAAAAAAATATTCATTGATAGGGATTTTCATTAATCATTTTTTAGTGTATTGGCTGTAATATATAAATTTCTAAAGTCTCAGAAGTGCCATGTTTCTTGTTAAATAGTGAAACACTTTGGAGTCCTTCTTATAAAAATAATGATCATTATTTTCTACTTCTGAATCCTTGACAAACTTACTTCTTAGTGAAAATGACACATCCAGGCTATCCTTCAGCAGTGGTGAGGGTGGAGGGTGTGATGCCAGGGGCTAAGAACTTGGTCAGGATAGTTTATTTTCACCCCTAAATATGCGAAGAATTTACTGAGATGACCTTGACTCATTTTACCAAAAACAGTGTTTTTTTTGGGGGAGGGGGGGCTGCGGAATCTGCTCTTCTCCCCTTTTACTCTGTTCTTCCTGGGCAGTCTCAATCTGGGCGGTCCTGCCTTGCTAATCAAACACCCACTGATAGTCCTTGTGGTTCTGGAGGCTGGGAGCGAGCTGTGCCTCTAGGGATGTGCTGGCTGGGGTAGGACTGTATGGGACACAGCACAACACCTGCGTGTCCGATGGAGGCAGAGGAAGCTCACACGGTGTCTTAACTATGCTCCTTCCTTCACGTCTAGTGGTATCCTGAGGTGCGGCACCATTGTCCCAATACTCCCATCATCCTGGTGGGAACTAAACTTGATCTTAGGGATGATAAAGACACAATTGAGAAGCTGAAGGAAAAGAAGCTGACGCCCATCACCTACCCACAGGGTTTAGCCATGGCTAAGGAGATCGGTATGAAATCCTGCATTTTTCTGCTTTGTACACATTTTTGTTTTCATGACAGGCAGGAGTTCAGTATGTTCCTGACTCAGGGTCTGACTGACATTTGGGGAACCAGTTAGGCCCTTGGGTTAGCACTGGGGAGGTGGCTGCAGGTCAGGAGCTTACTCTGCTCTACCAGGCGAAGGGTGGGCAGCAGAGCCTGGGGAGCTATCTCTGGCCCCTGTTGTCATCTGAAGGACCCCGAGTGTCCATTGCACATTTGTAACACACAGTTTCTCTGCAGGTGCTGTGAAATACCTGGAGTGCTCAGCTCTTACACAGCGAGGCCTCAAGACAGTGTTTGATGAAGCTATTCGAGCGGTTCTCTGCCCACCTCCTGTCAAGAAGAGGAAGAGAAAATGCCTGCTGTTGTAAATGTCTGAGCCTCTCCTGCCCTTTGTATGCTTTGCTCAAAAAACAGTGGAGCCTTTGCACTCAATGCCAAGTTTTTGTTACAGATTAGTTTCTCCATAAAACCATTTTGAACCAACCATTAATTTTAAGGTTTTGTGTAGACTTCAAACTTTCACATTCTATTAAAATTTAGCCCTAAAACAAGCTTTCTTAAAGCCTTATTTTTCAAAAACCCTTGTTCTTGCTCATATTAAGAGTTGCCAAAATACTTTGTTGCATTGTTGTGCTAAGAACACTAAGCACTAAACCGACCTTTGTCCTCAAGAAGAAGTTAGGAAACACAGATACTTTTTAAGTAGTTTCAGATACGAAAAACTGCACAGCCTCCTTCATAAAATGTTGCCATTTAATGCACCGATAATTTATCATGTTCATGACCTAACATTGTACTGTATGTCATGGGACGAGTGTAACAACTCAACTCTTTGAGTCTTTTTGCTTTCCTAGTGAAAATAAGAAAAATTGTTAGTGTATTAGCTTTTGCTGAGCTTTGGAACAGAACTCTTAATCACGTGTTCCCTCGAAGTATTCTGCTCTCGCCAGGGTGTGCTGGGTGGAGTGTGCGGAACACTTGATGTGATTGATCAAAGGATGACAGTATTTTGACAAAATACAGAGTGGAGGTTTAATTTACACTGTGTTGTACATGTAGTGATTGAATTGAGTAAGTTCATCAGTGAAAATTTTAAAGCTTAATTTCTGTCAAATGCAGGTAGTTGATAAGGAAAGGTGGTATTATCAGTGTTTTCTTATACTTTTCTTAAACCTGTCATCCCTCCCTAAAATGGGAGTTTTTAATTCATCTTTAAACTGGTCATCTCTATGGTTCCTAAATTAGTAAGTGCTTTTCTTATAGAACCCTTCTTAATGAGCAATATGCCTCCTGTATAATAAAATCTTTCTGATAATGCATTAGACTTTATTTTGTAGATTAGTAAAAGTGCATTCCTGTTTTCATGATACTTTACTCAAAGCTAATAAGCGCTTTCCTTAGTTTTCTAGTAACTAGGTGTAAAAATCATGTGTTGCAACAGTTTTTAAAGTATTTTAGATATTAAACTATGAACCTTCTACCATCACTGTCTTGCCAGATCACCAACACTGTACCTTGACTAATACTGCCTCCTGCCTCACCCACCACGCAGGCTTCCCGTCACTGCTCTAACACTACTCCTTCGGGTCTGAGGTTATGTGAAGCCCGTGCTCATGCTAACACAGTTCTGTACAGCTTAGCCACTGGCAAGAATACAAGGGTTGGACCATTCAACCATTAGAACAAAATTTTTTTAATGGAATGTGGAGTGTTTTTACATTGATCTTTTGCTAATGCAATTAGCAGTTTGTTTTGCATGTATGACTTAATAAATTCTTGAATCACATGACTGTAATAATTGAATTCTTGAGATCAACGGTCCTGGTGTATGTGTTCATTTGCCTTGCTTTAAAGTCCTGGGTTTTTGGGGAGACATTAATTTTCAGTGCATGTTTTTATGTTGGAGCAGCCCCTCCAGGGTAGTGGACTGGTGAATCAGCAAACTGGAGGGTGGTGGTGTAGGAAGGGGAGGTGATGTTCAGTGTGGAACCTGTTGATGGCGTGGATGAATTCATGGGCTGTTTGCAAATTGGGTGGGGCTACACTGGACTGAAAATGCAGATGTTGAGGCCAGAGTCAGCTTGTTAGGGTTAAGACTTTAAGATCCTTTCTGGAGCCTGAAATGAGTACTACGAAAAGTTCATGTTTGAATTGATTTTTAAATAGTCCTCTTTTTTAACCAAAGATAAACAGCTTAAAGAACAATCATTCTCAAAGTTTGTTAGAAGTCTTTCACCTTCATAGCTGCCCTAGAAGTTATTACTTGAATTCTTTAACTAATTCTTGGTATTTAATGTTTAAATGATACACTTTTAATTCTCACTAGATTATCAATTATAAAAGGATCTAATGCAGGAAAGAGGCAGAGATCCACAGGGCGAAGTGTGTGGGAAGGGTGCGGTGCTCTGAGTGTGCCACTGGCCGAGTGTGCCACTGGCAGCACCTCCATATGTCCACCAGCCACAGCCCTGTGAACCCTGTCCTTTCAGACATGGACGCGCCATTACCTAAGTATGACTGATTAGCTCGTTAGCCAGTGATTGGTTCAGTCCCTCTCCCCTACCTCCCAAGAGGTCAGGTTAAGTAACACACCTCTCTTGCCAGTTAGCACTTTCATTTTCAGTCGTGAGTACTGATAATACCCATCATGGAAGATGAGGGCTTTTTCCTAACAGTGCAGCTCACCCCAACTCAACCTACCTTTCCCGTCTGCTCAATATAATTTTGGTTGCTTGCTCACTAGTAAACTAGTACAGTGTAGTATCTGTATTTTTTTTTTTGTAGAGGCATGCTTTTATTTATTTATTTGTTTGTTTGTTTTGTTTATACATGCACTGGGTACAGTCAGAAGCGCGGGAGGGTGAGAGAATTCACCAGAGCCAGAACGGGGAGCAGAGCAGGCAGAAGGACCGAAGTACACTGCTGAGGGGAGCAGCGGGCGGCAGGAGAGGTCTGCGCGCCATGTGGGACCCTCCTCTGGTGGCCGGGGAGCAGCCGGGGATCAAACCGGCGCCCTAAAGGCCGCGGGCAGCTTCGCAACCCAGCGCTCAACCGCTACGCCACCAGGGAGGCCCAGTATCTGTATTATTAATACTGTAAATATGCCACTGAGCCATTTGCTAACAAACTTGCTGTGTACTTCTGGTTTCTTTTGGGGTATTGCTTTAGTTGCTTAGTTGTCTGTGCACTTATTTTCCATCTGCTGTTCGGTTTTTTTTTAATGTATTGTTAACATCAGTTTGCATTTTTTGAGACTCAGAATCATCTGACTGCCAGCTCTCATTGATTTTAATTTCCTATAACCTGACAGTTTTTCCTCCTCATCTAAATGACCAGATTGTCCAACAGCTTTCTGAGGTGTGTGTATGGGAAGGCTGTGGTTGAGTCACCTCTTTGGAAATAACTTCCCTTCATGGGATTCCCTCTTCCATGTCCCGTGCTCTGTGCTTGGTGCGCTTCTTTCATCTGTGTTCTGTCATCCAGGTGATTGTGGCTGCTTTGGGGTGTATCTTCCATGCTCTTAATCTCCAGGTGTTTGCTTTTACTCTCACCACGTTTCTAGCCCCATATGTCAACCTGGTGACTGTGGCACTTCTCAGTTCTCTGCTGGGACAGGTTCAAGTTTCTCCTGTATCTGCTGCTTTAAAGGTGAGAACCTGGGAAAGGAGATTAGAAACCGAGCATACAGGTGGGTCTCGCCAGGCAGGGCTGCTCCGTGGGTATGAGATCTCTTACTTCTGCCACTGGGTATGTGCAGGAATGTGTGTAGAAGTGAAATGTGTAGCAGTTAAACTTTGCTATTTTATAAACGGTCCTTAGCAGGTTTTCAGAAACTCTAAGGTGGTATGGCTGTAAGCTGAGGGCCCTGAGTTTCCCCTGCAGAATCTCCTTGTAGGTTCCAGGCACGTGGTAGGAGGGGTTGAGGAGCAGCCCCTCAGTCTGCTGGGGTCCCACACCCCTCCACCTCCAAGCAAATGAAGGGCCAGCTTTCTAGTAAACTGCCTTTTCTGACTTGGCCCTGGTGTCTGCCTCACTTCCACCTCGGGGGCACATGGGGAGTCTGGGCTCTGAATCGGGCTGGTCCATGTTTTTCTGCTCCCACTTAGGACTCAGTTTTCTGGCAGCCATCTGTTGTTCTCATCTTCCCTTTATCCTTGGACATTCGTACTTTTTAAAGAAAATCCCTGTACTGTCATTTTATTGTGCTTTGGTGGGGGTAGGGGAGATGTGGGGCAGTCATGCCTGCACACCAGCTTCAGTCTTTAGCCAGTGCCAAGAAAACTTGAAAGAAACTTTAGAACTTATTTTGCTATTTACAGCTAACAATTAACATTTAAAACATTGCTATAAAGCCACCCAGTAAAATACTTTCTTGGAAACAACCATTGGAAGAGACCTCACCGTGCAGACCTCAAGTGCCGTGTGCAAGTGCTTTATTTTCTAACTCCCTCCGAGTCCACTGGCTGCCCTCCAAGAGCAAGAACATGACATGAGGATTAAACAATTCTTGGTGCGGCTGAAACCACCACATGGAAACGGAGTGGAGTGTTGCAGCTCTAAAGGCAGGAACTGCCGACTCATTTCCCTGACTTGATTCAGTCTTGATTCCCAGTTGGAGCTCAGGGCTGACCGCTGTGCCACCAGGTGCAAAATGTTCCCTCAACTGAGTACAGGTTGATGTAGCCTTGAAAACCCAACCTCGGTAAACTGCACACCTGCATACCAACTTCAGTCATCTCAGCAGTGATGAGACCCCAGTGGTGGGAAGGGGGCTTGGGTGGGATTCTACAGATCCATTAGGGCTTTACACCTGGCTGGGGCACCCCATCCCTCCCGGGCAGGTATCTGGTTGCCAGAAAACCTAGGCCAACGCCAGTGGGAAAGGGGCTTCCCAAAGGACTGAGAACCTGCCCCGTCCTCAGTGTTCTGAGTCCTGCTCTGTCCTACGAGCAAAGTCATTTTTAAAATTAACTGTCATTGGGAAGAACACTGAATTGATACCCATCAAATTCCTATCCGTAGACGCCCAAGAAATTGGCATAACAGGGATCACTGGGAAAGTCAGTTTAAGAACAAGGTCCAACGCAGCATCCAGGGGTCCTGGTTATGCCAAGTCTCCATGAGAGCTGCCTCGGGCTGGACAGGAGATGCAGGCGGCCCTGTCAGACACCACACTGTCCAAGGCTTTCATCAGGATGTCTGGCATGTGGTCTGTGAGCATCTTTGGGCCAATGAGTATTTTGCTGAATTCTGATTCATGTGCCCACTTTGCACTATATTGAGCAGTAGAACAGCTGCAAAACCTAGAGAAGAAAACAAATTACACAGCATCACTTCTAGTTTACCCCTTGTGTGTGTGCACACATGCATTCTTACTGGTGGTGAGGGGATTACACTCTGCCCCCACCACCTACACTCACCTTCCTGAAGTGCCCTCTTCCTCCAGGTGGATGATCTTGCCCGGAGGGTACAGAGGCGGGTACTTGGTGGGGGAATCCAGGGGAGAGTCGCTGGAGAAGCTGTATGCTGGAGACCAGTGTGTCAGCAAAGTCTGCTCTCCGAGAAGAGGCTGTGTCAGGTCTCCCTGGACGCCCCCATCCAACTCTGTCGGGAAGTTGTCCGGGTTCCCGCCAAATAACTCATACCAGCACCCATGCAGCAAGATCTTGTACTAAGGATGAGACCAAAGAAAGCAAAAGGCTTGTCACTGCAAAGCACCCCTGGCCTGTAGGTCCGTGCCAGGTGGCAGCGGCTTCGAGCTCCCCACCCAGCTGTCTGTTCTCAGACCACAAGCGGGTGGAGGTCCATGAGCCCAAACCATTGGACAGTGAGGCCGGCACACTTGCAGCAATATTTAAAAACCAAATCAGGTAGGGTGACGGAAAATGACCCTTAATTCTTTGGAGGCAATTCTGTAAACCAGTTTTATTTTTTCCTTAAAAATATTAGATGTTAGGGCCTCCCCTGGTGGTGCAGCGGTTGAGGGCTGGGCTGCGAAGCTGCCCGCGGCCTCTGCTGCGCCAGTTCCGATTCCTGGCCGCTGGCGAGGGTCCCACATGGCGCGCAGCCACTCCCGCTGCTCCCCTCGGTATTGTATTTCAGTCTGCCTGTTCTGTTCCCCACTCTGGCTCTGGTGAATTCTCTCACCCTCCCGTGCTTCTGACTGCACCCAGTGCTTGTATAAATAAATCTTAAAAAAAAAAAAAAAATTAGATGTTAAATTTTTTAAAATTGGGGGAGGCAATTGATCACCAGAAAGTTTAGCAACAAAAACCCTGTGTCGGAAAAAAGGTTACAGAGAAGATTATCTGTAATCCCATTCTCTAACTTTAAGCCACATTGGGGTACAGTTCTGCCAGAACTCACCTACAGGTTTCCCCTGCTACCTGAAAGCAGAATGTTCCTATTTGATAGGATTCAGTGGCTAATTTTTTGAGTCTGAGGATGCTCAAAAAATTTTCCATCGTGATAATGGCATTTCCAGACCCAGGAAGTGACCTGCCAATCATATCAGGAACACATCTCCCTTCTGATTTTCTAAGTTTTGGGATCAAAAGTTGGTCACAAGACAGGTTTAAGAAATATGAGATGGCAGATCACTTAGCTAGAACAGGGATGGTTCCAGGATGGCGTTCTCTAACTATGGCATTGTGAGCACCTGATTCGGTTACTTGCTTCCTGTGCACCATGTCTGTACTACCAGACAGGAGTCAGGAGAAGGTGGGGCTTCGGGCAACAGCGTCAATGCCTTGGGCCCTGAGGCTGAGTCTAGAAACACCCTTACAAGGAAGGCCTCGCAGGGCCTGCGGGTGGGCCCAAACCCCCAAATTACCTTGGGCTTATTACAGTGAGCGATCACTTGCAAGATTCTCTTCTTCAAATCTTCCAAGTTGGTCACACTTAACCTGTTTAGCAAAAAATCAGATTGAGGCTCAGTACGTGGTCATTTCAACTACCAACCCCAACAAAGCATCTAGCACACTTACCTGGGAATCACATCCTTGCCCAGGACAAGGGACACAATGAAGTTCTTAGAGTATTCATAAAGAGACTTGCTGAAATGTCAAAGAGAGAACAAGTTAAGATAGCGAAGTTTTATGATTACATGACTTAGAAGTGAAGGCTTTACTTCAAGTGACTTTGCCAGGTCAGTTTTCGTACACCCCAGCAGTTCTCTATCCCCGGAAGGGAAGTAAAAATGAAATCAGACTTCAAGTAGAGCAACCTGCTGGCCGGTCAACCAAGAGCATGGACCAAATGTACACATTTAACCTCTGACCCAGCAACCCCACTGGAGGAATCTACCCAAGATGCCTTCTGGCAAGAAAGTCAAAAGACTGGCGCAAAAAAAAAAAAAAGTAATTACTGTTTGTAGTAGCAGAGGCTGAAAACAGCCCAAGTTCATAAACCGGCGCATCCACTCAGCTGCATGGTGCTACAAAGCCCTGCACACTCAGGGGTCAGCCCAGGCTCTGTTCTAGCCCAACACAGCACGACGCAAATTCCTGGCTTTGTATATATAGTGCTGTCTTTGAAATTATCACTGGTCTATAGGATTATAAAGCAAAATTGTATCAAAAGCAATCCCTAAAGTTGAAAGTCAGATGAAATAAATAAACCTAATAGGATATTAACCAGGCAGAGACTGAATCTCAATGACTTAAAGCACCACTGGCTGCACAGCCCTACTAGGCACATAACCTAGAAAAGACAAGCTGGAAAGAAGGCTCAAGCGCTTGCAGTGACAGCACTGTTAGATGTACCAATGCTGTTGCCACTGGAACTGACCCCCCCCACTACAGGTGTGTGCACACATGTAGACAGGGAGACATGCAAATTAAAAATTAATATGGATATAAACAGATTTTAAGCATAACAAAAACACAAAGTTTCAGTAAAAACCAAGTACACAATCAAATAATTACAAAGCCCTGATCTTTAAATTGGAAGCATCAATACAACAAAAGTATTTCCACCACTTTCCCCTGAAAGAGCCTGCCTGTGGTAACAAGCGCCCCATGCCCAGATGACAGTTTCTGTACCACCTCCTGCTCTGATACTCCTTGGGAAAGTGCTGGATTCCACATAGAGAACAGAATAAAACATTGAGAGTATTTTGTTGTATCAGAAAGCAAGAAAACACAAGACAACAAGGGTGATGTCAGAACGCGGTGGCCGAGGGGCCTGGTTATAGGCTCCCACAACTGAGGAGGAGACAGTGTGAATGTCCCAGTTGACTGATGGGCTGAAATATAGAGCTCAAAGCTTTATAAACGCAGCTCACAATGCCTGCCTCTGAGGCACTGGGGTATGCAGTCATTATACATACCCACCACTGCTGCATACAAGGAAGGATTCAAGTAGTCAAGCATTTACTCTTTTTTTCCCTAAGTAAATTATAACCTAGAGTAAGCAAATACTTAGAAAAGATCTTTGTAGTTTTCAGCTAGTGAAGGCAGAAGGAAGTGAGCGTTACAAGACAAACTCACCGTATCCAATATGAGGACCATTTACGAGGTAACTGGGAGTATGTGAGCAACTACTGGCATCAAGGAATTATTAATTTTTAGAAGTTTATTTTTGAAAGGTATGGGAAGGTATTTACAGATGAAATGTCTCAGATTTGTTTGCTCAAAAGTAATCCAGATTTGCTCAGAGTAATCCCACGAGGGGGATCTGTAAGTAGGGTTGGGTTTATGCAGATTGTCATATTTTAATGAATTACCGAAGCTGATTCAATGGGGGCTCATTATACTATTTACTTTTGTTTGAATTCTCTTGTATGAAATTTCATAATAAAACAAAAGACTGTTTTACAGAGTTGAAGAGAGAATCAGTGAGTAGCAAACAGATCTGAATAAAATGTCCAGAACTAGCATAGAAGAAAGACACAGAAGACGTGCAGGAGAGGTTAGAGATGTGCAATGGGGTGTGCAGCACACATCCTGTCACATCAGGACAAAAGGTTACATAGAACAGTTCTGGATGAAGCGTGTTGAGTCAAAGGAAAGATATACTTTTCAGATTCATCAAAAATAGGCAATGAGTCTTAGCTTTTCATCATTTAGGAAATCTAAGCTATGGGCAGAAACCTAGGAAAGTGTGTTCAGTCGTCAACTAAACTGTTCAAACTTCTGAGTATGAAAAAGCAGCACCCTGATAACTGTGCAGACACACCTTAGCAGCCCCCGGGGCGGGGAGAAGGCGTAGCACCGGACTTGCGGGTGGGAGTGTCTCAGCATGATGGCCAGTAGGGCCGCAGCGCCTGCCCCCAGGCTGTGCCCCACGATGACCAGCCGGTATTCCTGGTGGACAAAGGCAGAGTAAGACAAGGTTAAAAACACAGCTAATGACAGAGAAAAGTGAAAGTAAAGAAAATTCAGTAAAATCTCACGGGAGCGATGCTGAAGGCTTGGCTCAAAATCCCATCATTGATCAGTCGACGGTAAACATATCTGGCAGCCTGAGAAATTCCCTAGAAACACAGACAAAGGAGATGATTACTGAGTGTCCGAGATGGCCGGGTCCATCAAGACATGACCAAATGGCTCAGCAACCACATCCCCTGCTTCCAGTGTCCTGCATAGGGGATAGACATGGCACCCAGCAGGTGCTCAGAACACAGCTCCCTGAAACTGGGTGACACCAGGGACACCTTCCCATCTTAATGACATCCACTGCAACATTTTCTGTAGCTACTCAATTCTGTTGCGTGTGTGCCACAGCTGACGTCAGCCCAGTCTGTGTGGCTGGTCAGATTATAAATGAAGATCTTTTAAATTGACACTAAAACAAAGTTCTGAATCAGTGACACTGACTAAGCATCCTCTGTTCCTGCAAAGTCTAAACTAAGACCATCAGAAGTGACTCCGAGGGAGATCAGGTTTTGGTTTAAAATTTCAAAAAAAATGGAACGTTTCTTGACATACTGTCCTAGGAAACAGGCTCCTTGAAAATTAAACAGTTCCTGTCCCATCAGCACTGTTTCTGGAGTACTTCCTCCATGGCAAGGGGAGACAGGCCCGCCCTCTCCTGGGGCAGCACATCCCTCGGTGTGGGGTTCACACCGCACGGCAGCTGCTGTGGTGTCATCTGCCCTAAAATTCTAAGAGCAGAACATGACCTGGCAGCACGAAAGAGAACTCAGGAGGCTCAGAGGCTTCAACATTCTGAGTAAATCTGACAGCACTTCTTGACAACCCCCCACTTCCCTCTAAACCCCCGCAATGATGTAACGCGCCAACCCCCTCATCTGTCAGGCACCCACCACAGGTTGGGCTCTGCAGGCCGAGCCCAGCCCAAGCGGGACGAGGCTGCGACATCATGGCCTCATACGGGACTGCTCCAACCATGGAGCTTTGGCTTGGGGGCCCAGGGCCAGTCCTAGAGGCAGAGCTGGGCGCGGCCCTGCCCAGAGCAGAGCAGTTTCTGCCCGGAGGCCCGGGGAGGCTGCCTTCCTAACCTGAGGATAAGACCTGTTACTGAAGGAATGGTAAGAAATGGAGTTGAAGCTGTTACTGGAGGAGCGGCAGCTTGTGGTCGGAGAAAACCACCTGCAGGCAAATATCTGTGAGACCAGAACCACGACCAAGCCCACCGCACCGGAAAGTGTCTGTGGTTAGCTGGCTGCTGTGTCGCTTTAATATGCTTGAAGATTTTTCTTCTCTCTTTTTTCATAAACAGAACTAAGGCACAAAGACCGCTAAAGATAAAGAAGAAAAAAAGACGTTCCTGGGACTGCAAGTCTCTAACTGGTCACAGACAAACGCCTCTGCTCTGGCTCCCAGTGCAAGGTGCCCACGCAGGACGCTGCTTTTGACCTCTGACAGCTACACTCTGGCTATACCACATTTTTATAAAAATTAAACACTGCTGACCTATCTCTTGAGTACCTTTTAAATAAAAGGTCATTACCAAAGAAATACATATTTTGGTTAAAAATACACGTGAAGTGCATAAACACAGCATCAGCCCCCTGCCCCCCACCCCTGACGTCCTGGTTGACCTTCTCCCCAGAAGAAGCTGCCGTAACTGGTGGGAGGGAATCGTTCCAGACTTTCCCTCAAGTGTTAAAACACTCAGCTCTGCGACCTCATTAGTCACCAGGGAAACAAGCCAAAACCACAGTGAGATACCACTTCATACCCACTAGCAAGGCTAGAATCAAAAAATGGAAAAGTGTTGACAAGGATGTGGAGAAACGGGAACCCTCGAGCACTGTGCGTAGGGATGGAGAATGGATAGCTGCGCAAAAAAAGGTCTGATGGTTCCTCAAAAAGTCAAATATAGCAACAGCATCAGACCCTGCAAGCTTCTGGGTGTATGTCCAGAAGAGTCATAGGCGGGGACCCACATGGCTACCTGTGCGTCCACGTTTCTAACATGCAGTAGCTGGAGGAGGCAACAGCCCCAATATCCACCGGTGGGTGAGCATAGAGACAAGAGGCGGCATGGCACAAGACGGGGTGTCCGCGGCCTCAGGGAGGGGGACATTCCCGCCCAGGCTACAGCGTGGACAGACTTGAGCCTGTTATGCTCAGGGAAGGAAGCTAGGGCTGGGAGACAAACATGGGGGGATGCCCCAGAATAAGCAAGCTCAGAGATGGTGGTGGTTCGAAGGGGTTGGAAGCGGGGTGCTGCTCTGTGGAGACAGTGTGTTTGGGATGATGAAAAGGTTTGGGTCTAGTGCCGGGTACACAGCATCCTGGCTGCATTTAATGCCACCCGCCGCACACTTACAGGAGGCTAAAATGACAAACGTGTAGTTTGCAGACTCAGAACAGCTTCAGGGTGAGCGCACCACTGTGCCTTCCCAACACAGCAGGAGTGAAACCAGAACTTGGGTATCGTGACATCTGACAAAACCTATGGGATGACAGCGTCTGTCTCGTGGGGGCCCCTGGGTGCTGGTTCGCCCTGGGTCCCTGCACTGGACTGAAGCGTTAGTTTAATCCTGAGGGATTCGAACGGCAACTGACACTTTTTCCAGGAACTGCGTGGCTCTGGCCATTCACTTGGTCCCTCTGGCCTGCTTCTTCCTTTGAAAACAGTCTCAGGGTGGCTATGAGGATGCCTGCTGTGGAAGCACAGGCACTTGCTCCGCACGGCGCTGCTTCACAGGGCTGCTAGTACAAGCATTGACAGGATAGATTCAGAGTTGGGAAAATTCCTATCCCCTCCGTTTCTCCTGGATAGAGTATCCCAGACCCCAAAGCCCAGGACCTTACCTTGTGTGCCCAACAGTCTTGCACTTCACACTCTAGGTCAAGGGTCTCACTCTCTGCTGACAGGTCTGTCAGGATGTCCTGTGAAAGGGGCACCAGAAGAAGAGGCATCAGCAGCTAAGCCTGTGTGTCTGAGGCCATGTGCAGGGGGCGCTCCTTTGGCACAGCGGGGATGGTGCAGCCTCCGGGGCCAGCCTGTTGAGAGCTGACTGTGATGCCTGAACTGGGGAGAGACACCCAGGAGGCAGGCAGCCCCGGGCCAGGCATGCCAGAGGCAGGGCCCACGTCTAAGGCACGCCCTCTGCCTCCCTCGCTGCACCGAGGCAGAGCCCACACCAGCGATTTGAACAGAGTACAGTTCCTCCCCTCACAGTATTCACAGTTAATGCTGAAACATAAAGGAGGATAAGAGATACGCCAGACTGAGCAGAGGGAGGCAGGCACTGTGGGGCTGGGGAGGCTTCTGAATCTGGAGGAGGTGGCTCCTGAGTCTGGAAGGAAAAATTGCTCTTGGGAGTCAGAGGAGTGAGGCAGACATCCTCTCCCGAGGGAGCAGCAGGGCCCAGCAGAGGCATCTGACCTGGGAAACAGGTGAGGCTGCAGAGGGGCTGCAGACAGAGCTGAGAGGCTGGTGTGTCCCTGGGTGCAGGGTGGCCCGGGCGGGGAGGGGGTGGAATGGGGGGGGCTCTATGGTGACTGCAGCACCGGCAGCGCTAAGGACTATGCACGTGGGGTTTGGAGTAGGAATGGAAAGGCAGGCTGGGATCAGCCAGAGAGCACCCACAAAACTGTGCCAAGCAACATGAACTCTATTAAAAGCAGTGGGGAGCTGCTGGAGGTTTCTGAGTAGTGGTAAGAGCTGACTGTGTTCTAGAAAGTGCACTCTGTGGACAATATAAAGCATAGATTGGAAGATGAGGAGGTGGAGACAAGTAACAAGGCAGGTGATTTCACTGACCCAGGAAAGAGGACAGGGCCAGGGAGACTAGGGCCAGGGCAGGAACTGCACAGGCTGGGCAGTGAGATGGAGAGAAACACTAGACTGCGCCTCTGTCTTCCACGGGCATCTGGGGGACACTGCATCGTTACTGGGGGAGGAAGGGGCTGGAGGAGGACCCAGAAGGAAGAGCAGCTCCGGAAGGAGGCCTGGTATCTGGGTTTTTGGGTGCCTCTGGGGAGACCCAGGAGGCTCTTGGAGTTGCAAGTGTGGGATCCTGGCTGACAGGCAGTTGCAACCCCTGCCTTGGCCAGGGTGAGCAGAAAGGGCAGGGGACTTACTGCATGTTCTGGGTCAGTAGAGAAGAATCAGAAAATCAGACTGAGGATCTGCCAAGAAGAGACCAGGAAGGCATCAGACTTGGCGAGAGCATCAAAAGGAGAAAGCTGTCTGGTGTTTCCACAGGGCAGAGGGGGAGGGGCAGGTTGGGAGGGGGTCACTGTGAGCTGGGAAAGGGCCTTGGTGCAGCATCTGGGAGAGCGGCCCTGGGGAACAGCTGAGACAGCTGATAGGGAACAGGATTGATGGGGAAGGGGAACTGGTGGTGCAGCTGGTAACAGCTCTGTGACTTTTGAGAGCTCTCCTCAATTCACTGCCCCCGTCTAGCTCTGGGAGCCAGGAATGACAGGCCTGTTACTTCAAGGGGGGTCCTGCAGGCACCCTGGAGAAGCTCCTTGAGCAGGGCCTAGTCCTCCTGGCATCTCTGTTTCTGACATTTTTCAGCTAAGTGGAACTAATTTCATCTAGTTTTTCAAAGGGAATGCTTCACAATCCGGACTTGCTCCCGCATTTTCCTCTGTGGTGCTGTAACTTAGGCGCATTCCCCCAGTTCCGGCAGAGGACAGGCTTGTCTGCAGCCTGCTGGCTGCCCGGCCCCACCCGGCCCCAACCGGAGGGTCAGACTCCTAACCTGGAGAGACATGGTTCCTCTCACAGCCACCACGACAGACTCTGTCCTGTGGTCCAGAGCTACTATGAAGGGCAGCTCATACACCTGCGGGAGGGAGACAGCAGCGGGAGTTCGTCATTAGGAAATCATGCTACTGAGAGTGAGAGCCCCTGTCGGCCTCACAGCACACCCTGTGAAATCACCCCTGCGGGAAATCCTAAGAGGACCCATTCAGGGGCTATAACTGCTCCGGGACATACAAGTGAAAAAGTATCTTTGTTTTCTTCTTCCTTCATTTTTTTTATCAGGTTGGATAGAAGGGAAAGTGGCAACATTATAGCAAGGTGTGAGGGCAGCACATCTCCCAGGCTGACTTGGCCAGGAACCACAAAGTATCCTTTGTTTTCCCTTTTCCTTCTCTCTAACCCCTGACACACCTACTACTGTTCATAAAGGATACAAACTTCTCCTTCAGCTTGGCCCCAGCATCACCAGGGAGCTAAGGTAAATCCAGGTCTGTGGTGATCATCTACAAGTCATCCCTCTGGACCACCAAATGCTGTTTCCCAAAGACTCTACTCAGTTTATAAAATCAATATACAAAAGTCTGTTTCATTTTTATATACAGTGAAGGAAAAGAAAAAGATGTTTAGAGGGTAATTCTAATCACAACAACTCCAAAAAGAATCAAATACCTAGGAATTAACCTAACAAAGGAGATGAAAACTACAAGAAGTTATTAAAGGACGTAGACCATGATGCAACAAAAAATATTCCACTTCGTGGATGGGAAGAATCTATACTGTCAGTGACTAGTTTACCAAAAGTGGTATGTAAATTTAATGCAATTCCCATCAAAATACCAACAAGATTCTTCAAAGAAATTGAAAAAAGAGGGCCTCCCCTGATGGCACAGGCGGTTGAGCGCAGCGCTGTGAAGCTGTCTGCAGTCTCTGCAATGTGGGTACTATCCCGGCCAGCATGCGAGAAACCCACATGGCGAAGCAGACCTCTCCTGTCTAGCCCGCTGCTCCCCTCAGCAGCGTATTTCAGTCCATCTGCCTGTTCTGCTCCCCTCTCTGTCTCTGGTGAATCCTCTCGCCCACCCCCCCCCCCCCGCATCTCTGGCCTTTACCCCAGTTCTTGTTTGCATAAATAAATAAATCTTTAAAAAAAAAAAGATTTATTCATACATACAAGAACCAGGGTACAGGTCAGACGTGCAGGAGGGTGAGAGGATTCATCAGAGACAGAGCAGGGAGTGGAACAGACAGACTGACTGAAACACACTGCTGAGGGGAGCAGCGGGCAAGGCAGGAGAGGTCTGCTTCGCATGTGGGTTGCTTCCTAGCCAGCTGGGGATCGAACTCGTGCTGCAGAGGCTGTGGATTGCTTCACAGCGCGGTGCTCAACCCCTTGCACCACCAGGGAGGCCCTGTATGAATAAATCTTTATTTTTAAAATATTTATTTGGGCCTCCCCAGTGGCGCAGCGGCTGAGCACTGGGTTGCGAAGCTGCCCGCAGCCTCTGCAGCGCCGGTTCGACCCCGGCTGCTCCCCAGCCACCGGAGGAGGGTCCCACATGGCGCGCAGACCTCTCCTGCCGCCCGCTGCTCCCCTCAGCAGTGTACTTTGTCAGTCTGCCTGTTCTGTTCCCCAATCTGGCTCTCGTGAATCCTCTCACCCTCCCGCACATCTGACCTGTACCTTGGTTCTTGCATAAATAAATAAATAAATAAATAAATCTAAAAAAAAATTATTTATTTATACAAGAACTGGGGTACAAGCCAGAGGCACCGGAGGGTGAGAGAATTCACCAGAGACAGAGTGGGGAGCAGAACAGGCAGAATAGACAGAACAATGGAAAACACCGCTGAGGGGAGCAGCAGGCGTGACAGGAGAGGTCTGCCTCGCCATATAGGTTTCTCCCTGGCTAGCCGGGATGCAAACCCACACTATAGAGACTGCGGACCACTTCACAGCGCTGCGCTCAACCAGCTGCGCCACCGAGGAGGCCCAATAAATCTTTAAAAAAAAAGAAAAAAGAAAATTGAAAAAAATAGTAAAACTTATATGGAACCATTAAAGGCCTCAAATAGCAATACTGAGAAAAAAGGAAGTATAACCTAACTTTAAACTATATTATAAGAAGCGAGAGTCATTAAAACAATATGGTATTGTCATAAAAATAGATACACAGACCAATGGAATAGAACTGAAAGTCGAGAAACAAATCAACATATACATCAGTACACCATTCATGATAAAGGAGCCACAACTGGTGCCAGGAGGACCAGGCAAAGATCATTCTCTAACACCATACACAAAAATAAATGCTACATGGATTAAAGACAGACTTAAGGCCTACAACAATGAAATATATTAAAAAAAGATTGGTGATTCATCCCATGACATCAATGATAAAGATGTCTCTGGAGATTTATCTCTATGGCAATGAAAATAAAAGCACAAACATCTGGGATTACCTCAAGTTAAAAGCTTTTACACAGTAAAACAAGACATAAGTAGATTAGTGAGACATCCGTCTGAATGGAAGAAAATATTTACGTATTACACAATCAACAAGGAGTTAATACACAAGATATCTAAAAAAATTTACACAATTTAACAATAAAAAAATGAACTAATAAATGGGTAGATCTGAAATGACAATTCACCAGGCCAACAGAGACATGAAAAAATGTTCATAAAAGCTTCCAGTAGGAGATGCAGGTTAACACCACAAGGAGGTGCTATTCCACACCTGCAAGGATGGGCTGGTGCAAAGAGGAACCCTATTACACTGCTGGTGGGAATATAAATTGGTACAGCCATTTTGGAATGTGACCTAGATTTACCTTAAGAAATGAAAACACCTTATGACCCAGCAATATCACTCTCGGGCATCTATTCAAAGAATTTGAAATATTCAAATAAAAAAAATTAGATGCTATACAATGTTTACTGCAGCATTATTTTATAGCTAGGACATGGAAACTACTTACTGATAGGGGACTGGATCAAAAAGATGTGGTCTATCACAGACTGGAATACTATTCAGTCAAAAGGAAAGATGAAATATTGCCATTTACAGTAAAATGTCTAAGGGGATTATGTGTAGCAAAACAAGTTAAAATGACAAAGACAAATACTACACATTTCCATAGGAGATGTGACAAAGCAAAATACTTTAAGAATTAGACTTGTGGGGCATCCCTGGTGGCGCAAGGGGTTAAGAAGCAACCTATGAAGCTGTCCACAGGCACTGCAGCACGAGTTCAATCCTCGGCCGGCCAGGGAGCTACCCACGTGGCACACCAGACCTTTCCTGACTCGCCCGCTGCTCCCCTCAGCAGCGTATTTCAGTCAATCCATGTGTTCTGCTCCCCACTCTGTCTCTGGTGAATCCTCTCACCCCCACACCTCTGGCCTGTACCCTAGTTCTTGAATGCATAAATAAATAAATCTTTTTAAAAACCTAGTAGACATGAATAAAGAAGTGAGGGGTTAAGGTGAAGAAGGAGCCAGGATGGAGAGGGGGAGGGTCCAAGTGGTGTGAGGGTGGCAGTGGGGAAAAGCTGTTGTTTGGGAGCCAGTGAGCTGGAGGGTCATGCACTAGCTCCCCACATTGTCTGCTTAGCACAATCACCTGGTAGGCTTGTACTGTTAGAGATTCTACTTTAAATGACAAGGACTTTGGGTATTTAGAAAGTTGCCCAAGAGATCCTATGAGGCAGTAAATTTGAGTTACTGTACTAAATACCTGACCCTTAACTTGGGTTGCATCTGAGTCAGGGCACTGAAGCTGAGAGCTGGCCTCCGCAGGGCCACCGACTTCCAGGGATTCCACACCCTCCACTTGGGGATGAAAGTGTGAGTATATGCGTGTCTAATGCGCATTGTCAAGGGGAATAATTACAACCTACACCAGAACCTCAAAGGACTCCAGGACCCAAAAGACACAAAGAGCCCCGCCTTCTACTCCACCTTGTCGTGAAAGCTTATGTGAATGAAATCCCTGTACTGTAGCCCCGTAGTGTGCAGGATGGAGCCAAAGTGACAGTTGAGCTGGTCACCTCCAACCAAGTCGTAGTCTGTCGTCCTGTTCCCGCAGCTATAAGAAGAGGGCAGGGGGTTACTGTGCGCCTGAGTCACGGGCCCCGCTGTCCCACTTTCCCAGAAGCACAGGGGCTAGAGCTTACAAGTTTCAGACACAGTTTGGCTAACATATAGTTGCTTTTAAAAGATAAACACATTCTGTGTATGCTTTTTTCTTGAGTTCTTACTTCTAGAATCATGCTGCTGCCTTATCTATTCAAAGAGTAAATTAAATCAAGAATGGGAGGGACCCTCACATCCCAGAGATGGACAAGGTGGGCCAGGCACCCCCAAGACAGGACACTGGAGAAGGACCCACGTCCCTCCGGGGCTTCCTGTCACTGACACACAGCCTGAACCGCAACACGGAGTAACCGCTGGACAAATGCAAATCGAGGGCCAGTCTACAAAACATCTGGACTATCGTCAGAATGTCAACATCATGGAAAACACAATGACTGAGGAGCTGATCCAAACTGAAGGAAACGGCTGAGGGGACAGGTATTATTGGGGCACAGGAAATCTGAAAGCATGTTGTAAATTAATTACTAATAACAGGGCCTCCCCGATGGCGTAGCGGTTGAGCGCTGGGTTACAAAGCTGACCGCAGCCTCTGCAGCGCCAGTTTGATCCCCGGCTGCCGGGTGAGGGTCCCACATGGCATGCAGACCTCTCCTGTCGCCTGCTGCTCCCCTTAGCAGTGTACTTCGTCAGTCTGCCTGCTATGTTCTCCGCTCTGACTCTGGTGAATTCTCTCACCCTCCTGCGCTTCTGACTGTACCCAGTGCTTGTATAAATAAATAAATAAATCTTAAAAAAAAAAAAAAAAAGAATTACTAATAACACATTTCCTGAAGTTTACACCTGCACTGTAGTTAGGCAGAAAAAAGCCCGTATTCCTAGGGACAAAGGGGCATGGTGTCTCCATGAGGACAGTGACCCAGCCTGGGACAGAAATGGTCACACGGGTGACCGCAGATAAAGGCTATAGGGACTTCTTTCACTGCTCTTGCGTGTTTTGAAAGTATTTCAAAATATGAAGCTTTTTAAAAGAGAGAATTGATTATTTTTAGAAACTAAAGTACAGATGCCACAGCAAGCAGATGGAAGGAGAACGGAGGCCTCCGCGGGACCAACCTACCAGTCACCACCGATCTTGCACAGCCCTGTGAACGGGTTTCTGTAAATGTAGAGAGGCCACCCGTAGGCAGCGGCTGCAAACTGCATGTAGTGATGACAGTTTTCTAATTCTTTATCCAAGTCAGCTTCCTGTAAGAGAAGGGAGAAAGCTTTTTATTGAGGGAGACCCATCATGGAAAAGATCAAGACACCTGAAGTCAAGATCCTAAACCGGAATTCAAACTCCTGACTCTCCTTCCCTTTCTTTATTCACCAACCAGACCTCTCAGAAGATGTCTATGGAGAAACTGGCCCTTAAATACAGACTGAGACTGCTGGGCCCTCATTATTAGGGATGCGGCGAGTATGGTGAAAGTTAACTGCAAAACAGCAAAAACCCAGTAACCTCTGATGAAACAAGCTGGGACCTCCCGTCAGATGCATGAGAGACTGCACAGTCTGGGGAGCAGACGTCCACGCCACTGAGCTGCTAAGAACCAGGAATGTGGGGAGGGTGCAGAGGAACACATACATCTACGGGCCACTTTCTCCTTCTAAAGCATAAACATCTGTAGCACGAAAACCACCATCAGGCAGAGCTGACGTTTCCCAGGTCCAGAGAAGAAAGCAAACACACCATGGAAGCACCCATCCCACAGGGGACTTTTCTGATTCGCAGACTCCAAAAACCAATTTTCTAAAAGAGAACACTTTAAAAATACAATGGACAGTGAACTGGCCAGGATCTGGCTCCCTCTACCTGAACTCCAAGTGATAAGAAAAACGCCTCACCCGACAGGAGACAAAGTACAAACAGCAGAAGCCATAAATCAGGTTCTAAGCCTGAATTTGTTTCAGGCTTAGAATTTGTTTCTCCTACTAGAAACTTCTGATGGACACACACACACACACACACACACACACACACGTGTAGTGGCTATTCTATACAAACTACTAGCAGTGGGGGCCTACCTGGGAGGGTCCTGGGGAGTGGCTGATCACCTCGTCAGGCTCCTGGTTATACCTGATATTGTCCTGTTGCTGATGGAGGAGGGTGAGGCCTGCTGCAATGTCGCTGGGCACCAGGTCTGTGTCCTAGATGGAAATAATGTGGCTTGTCAGAAAGCCCAGCAGAAGTGCCCCTGAGTTCCTTAAAATCTGGTTCCATACAGCTCACACACATAAGCACACACTCTGACAGAGATATCTCTACAAGTACAGTCTTTTGAGGAGGACTCCTATATGTGAGCTTCACGTTTTTATATCCTGCCCTCAGACTTATCCACTGGAAAACAAACATTTTGCTGATCTCTATTTTCAAATCTCATGTCAAGTGACTTAGCTGTTTTTAATCTACGTCACAATTTTTTGTAAAGTGGGGGAGTAAAGGGATAAATTCTCCACTTTGCAGTAACAGTCCATTTTTTCCCTCACTGCTCAAGAGCTGTGAAGGTTTTGCTCAAACAGTGCATGGTAGAGACTTAAGAAATTGAATTTACAACTTATTGGGCACAGCCAGCCTCAAAAAGAACTTGAAGGTCCTCTCTGGTGGCCTAGGGGTTAAGTCAGTGCTGTCACCACTACAGCATGAGTTTGATCCCCGGCCAGGGAGCTGACCCACACAGAGCAGCAGACCTCGCCTATCTCACCCGCTGCTCCCCTCAGCAGTGTGTTTCAGTAGATCCACCTGCTCTGCTCCCCATTCTGTCTCTGGTGAATCTTCTTACCCCCTGCACCTCTGGCCAACACCCCAGTTCTATGCAAAAAATAAATAAAAGAACTTCAAACTAATAAAGCAACAGAGTGAGTTTTCTGGAGCCTGACTGCCCCCTTCCCCTGCAGGAGGGGTAAGGAGGAGGCAGGAACACTCAGCTATTTCCAGTGCTTCCAGCCCTAAGCAGGGCCAGCCTGGCTACCTCATGGCTGAGTCACTGGTTTTGCCCATGACATATGTTAATGCAGTCTCTACGAACAGCCATATTCTCTTCTTCCTTTTTCCAACTATCTTAATGCCTTTAAATTTATTTAGGGAGATACACTTCTCTAATCCCTACGTGGAGACCACTGTTACGGCTGTGGGGCCAGCCTTGGACAATGCAAAGTCAGACACCATGGAGAGGTGACAAAGAGGCCAACAGGCATGTAAATGTCACGAGAACTCCTCTCCTTACTTGGTGTCAACACTAAACACAATAGCAGTTCTTCAGAGGACATCACACAACAAGAAAAAAACACACACTGGACATGGAAGAAAAACAAGCATTTTCAAATCAGTAAAGAAATCGTTCTGGAATTTCAATACCCCTCTAGGCACTGAAACAATCTATTCAAACTTTGCTTTGAACATAATCTACCATGTTCATCACAAGAGAAGCAGCAAGAAACCAAGGCTGATACCACCTTGGGTAAGGACACTGATATCTGCTGAGTACCACGGGATGGCATGTACGTGGAAACACCAATGGCAATTCACCCCCAACCTGTTGCTCGATCATTCATTTCATTCAAGAACCGACTCAAAATCTAGACAGTGTAATGACAGGTGTCAACACGTGGACGTGCTGAGAGGCCAGGGCTACAAACACAGGCCCTTTGTTAATGCTCCTTAGCAGGCTCGAGCACCTACCCAGGTGGGGTCTCCCACCCTGCACCCCCAGACCACAAGTTCTCAGGAGTTACGTGAACAGGGGGACTGGCCCGAAACGTGGAGTACTCAACACAAGCAGAATTGACTTAAACAGAAGAAAGAGACCAGACCAGACCCCTTCAGCTTACTGAAAAGTAGGTTGAGAAAAGCTCTGCCGTACTCGAAAAAGCAACTCGAGTATGGTCGTCTTTCCCAATGCAGCAGCACAAGAGCTTGATCCTGGTTTCCCACACACTTGTAGCCGCTGTCCTGAGGCCAGTAAACAGCTGGCTGGACTCATGACTGTCCAGGTGGTTGGGGCCAGCAGAGGAGTAGGGGGCCATTTTCCCCCCCAGTGGGTCAAAGACGATGATGATGGTGACCACAGTGGAGGCGATGATAATCCAGCTGCAAAATAGGAGGAGGCTTGATGACTGCAGGTCCCACATGCAGACACAGCAGCCAGAGGCCTCTCCCTCCGTTTATCTACACACGGTGGAACTCTCCTAGAAACTGGGTGAGGTGAGAGACTTGCTCCTCCTAGAAATTTCTTATGACTAACACAGGCCCTACAGAGATCAGAGCCTGAAAGCAGAAACCATAAAAGAGAAAAGGAAGCGTCTGAGGGGGAGACGCAGCCTGGCATGGAAGCAGCTGGCCTTGTTCGCCACAGCTCCCTGACCACCACCCCAGGCCCTTACTCCTTCAGGTCTCAGGGTTCTTCCTGGCAAAACTGAAAGAATTTGGCCATGTTGCAGGACCCTCAACTAGTCTTTCATTTACGCGCCCTGGGAGTCCATGGTGTGCAGGGCCCTGTGGTCCTGAACATGTGCTGTGGGGGAGGAGCCTCCAGGGGGCTGCCCCAGGCCCTGCTGGTGGCTCTCAGAAGGGCGGCTGGGACAGCCCACTCCTTGTGCCTGGCATTGTTCCAGGCATTATCCCCGTGCATTATTCCTCAGTACAACTCCTGACACTGATTTCTTTTTGCTCGCTGTCTGGTTTGGGTTTCAGGTTTTCTTCCTTCTTACACGAGAAGGGAGGGAATGCAGAAAAATAAGAACCAGTAAGAAAGAAAAACTACATCAATAAATGCACGATGGAAGATGAATTATTTCCCATGTATAAACAAAAGCATCTCTAATGTCTATGATTTACTCAAAGGGATCCAATTTCTAACTATTTTAGGAAGGCTTCAGCACACTGGCTACCTGAAGTGGTTCAGAAAGGTTTGTTTACCTCTGTCTCAAGTATTTGTGAAACAGGAAACAAGGCAGAGACACAGAAGACCTCACCTGATGATGACGGTGGCGATGATGCCGTTCACAACTGTCCTGTCACATTCAACACCATCTGCTACCCAGGTGGCCCCCAGCGTTGCCCAGACCATCTCTGGCAGGAAGAGGGCCAGGCGGATGTAAAGCAGCTTAGACATAGATTTCCGTGGTCCAGGATTACAAATGGTTCCTGAGATGCAGAAGACATTAGAATGGTCACGTGTTTCCTCAGAGATGGAAGAGCTCCCTTTCTACAAAAACGCGGCTGTGACGGCACGTGCCCGGCATGGGCACACGCCACCTTCTGCCTTTACCTGTTGCCAGCAATTCATGCCTAAGCTTGAGAGCACATGCCACAGTGAGGGGCAGGAAACATGGCAAAAACCTCAGTCATTTCTTAGACTCACCAGCCTTTAAAACCATATGGAAGACCATATGATCATTGTCCAAATCAGGACACTTTTGAAAACAAAGCTACAGTGCTATTAATAATTGTGCTGGACAACCGACCAAACCAGCACTGTTGCAGGCAAACAGAAGCACGTCACCACGTCCTAAGAGTGAGGAAAGCAAGCACGCCATCTGTTCGAGACCTGTACCTTCTGACACCATCGGGACACTTTCCACCCACATTGCTCTTTAACGCTAGCACTGACTGGGAGTGTCATCGTCCCACTGCACAAAGAGGAAACTGAGGCTTGGTGAGCAGAATGCCTACTTTCTAAAACAGAATCCAGATCTGTGCGACCCAGCACTCCATCTCACCACTGCCTCCATGGCCCTCACTTTGGAAAAGGAATGATTCTGAAACCTAAGGGCCGGATACAACATTTTTACGCTTTTTATAAAACAAATCCAAGAATCAACAGAAATCTGTGTACTTTAATTCTTGATGTAAAAACTTTAACTCTCAAAAAACAAAACAAAACATTAATTCTCTCCCTTTGGGGAAAAGCTGTGATAAACACGAAGGTAACATAAAAATGCTACATGAGGGCCTCCCCTGGTGGCACAGGTGGTTGAGTGCAGCACTGTGAAGCTGTCTGCAGCCTCTGCAGTGCTAGTTTGATCCTGGCCGGCCCGCAAAGGCCCCACATGGTGTAGCAGACCTCTCCTGTCTCGCCCGCTGCTCCCCTCAGCAGTGTATTTCGTCAGTCTGCCTGTTCTGTTCCCCGCTCTGTCTCTGGTGAGTCCTCTCACTCTCCTGTGCATCTGGCCTGTACCCCGGTTCTCGTATAAATAAATAAATCTTTAAAAAAAAGCTACATGATGAAAACAAAATCAACGATTGGAAAAATCTAAAGAATCATTTGTTAAGGAAATAACTTTTATATTCCAAAAATGATCTTTCATGAGTCAGTTAGAACCACATTTAAAAATATAAGACACAAGCAGGCTCATTGTGGGCAGAGACAATATTTCAAACTGAAACAGCTCTCTCTCTAAGGGGCAGACAATGGCTAAAGGTGTGTAAAAAAACAGTCCTTTGCTTGGATTCTGCTGTTGCTTAACTAAAGGTGCTCACCCAAGGAAGACAGGAAACAATATCAGGGGGGAGACACACACACACACACACACACACACACACACACACACACACACACCCACCCACCTACCCACCCACCCACTACCCCCCCCTCCCCCTCCTGGATGGCCAGGGCTCCAACTCGGGGAGTATCCGAATGTTGCTAAGCAGCAACTGGTTACTGCATGAATAAAATAAATAAATGAGAAAGCAGCAAGTGGAGTTCTAATTAAGGCTCCAGAAAAGAAAGAAGACATTGAAAAAATGATTTAGATTTTTATTTTCTTTTCCACGTAAACAGTTGCTGGTGAGAACCAGGCTGGTGCAGTGGGTGTTGGGATGCCCACGATCCATAATTACTGAACCTGGCAACATTCCTGGACACAACATCCTCAACACAGCCCTTGTGAAGGAACCATTGCCTAGCAGCCGTGGCAATAGAGGGAAAGCACATGTCACATAATCTCTGGGTCAACCTCTCTGTTACTCTTTCCCAACACGACATTAGCAATGAGCTCGATAGGAGATTCGAGATGTCCCACGACCAAACCAAACCCAGCAGTGGCATGGCAGACGTGGGTGTTCTCCCTCCTACACTCTACCGCCTCGCTGGCAGGAGCAGCACTTCACCTGGGAGGTTCTCAAACCAAAACCAGAAATTAACACAATGGGGCCTCCCTGGTAGCTGGTGGCGCAAGGGGCTAAGCACCGCACTATGAAGCAATCCATAGCCTCTGCAGCACGAGTTCGATCCCTGGCCAGCCAGGCAGCAACCTACATAGCACAGCAGACCTCTCCTGACTCGCCCGCTGCTCTCCTCAGCAGTGTATTTCAGTCAGTCTGCCTGTTCTGTTCCCCACTCTGTCTCTGATGAATCCTCTCACCCCCCACATCTCTGGCCTGTACCCCAGCTCTTGCATGCATAAATAAATAAATCTTTAAAAAAAAAAAAGGAATTAACACAATGGCACCAAGATTTTTCCCAGCTAAGCTATACTGATGACCAAGAAACAGGATAGTCAAATACATAAGCATCAGTCTTTGGCATAAAGGTGACTGAATTCTATTAGTTTCAAAAGCACATTCTACAATTTGCGGTGTTACTTCTGGAGAAGTACATCAGCCAAAAGCCAAGCCAACTGTCTTTCAGCCAAATGATGTTGACTATAGAGATGGGTTATTAAAAAATAGACCTAAAACTTACAACTTGTAAAAAATCTACTGATTCTGTGCAGGTAATGCATGCGAAAGGTAAAGTTCAAAATGGCTCAAGTAGCTGTAGGGTAAATATTAAGACTTCTTCCCAAGACTGAAGCCCAGTCCTTCAGTTATCTTCCCTGCGAGTAAACTAGGGATTGTGCAGTCTGCAGTGTGCATATCAACAAAGCAGGTAGTGTGTATGCACACCCTCTAGAGAAAAGAAAGCACCACACTGCACATGGTGTCCTGTGCCTTAGCATATGGGAAATCACTCTTCGTTGGTTCACAGGCATTTCTTGCTTTCTAATAGTTGTGCCCACAGCGCGAGGATGAACTACATCCGACCTAACCAGGCCTCCCACCAGGCACTGAGTTTGTTCCTGTCTTTTGTAACTACAAACAACACTACAATGAACAACCCTACAAGCACTTTCTGTGCACACAAACATATAGGAAAAAACTGACTGATTCTTACGAAAACACTCCAAAACAGGACTTTCAAGAGAGTCAATCAACTTACAGAACGAGCTGCCTGTTTCTGGGGAAATGAGAGTACATTTCCCCATCCCAATGTTCTACTGTATCATCTAGGTGAGTTTTCTTATTGTGACTGAGGCCGAACATTTTTTTTTAAGATTTATTTATTTATTTATACCAGAACTGGGGTACAGGCCAGATGTGCAGGAGGGTGAGAAGATTCGCCAGAGACAGAGCAGGGAACAGAACAGGCAGATTGACGAAATACACTGCTGAGGGGAGCAGCGGGCGCTGCAGGAGAGGTCTGCGCGCCATGTGGGACTCTTGCCGGCTGGCCGGGATCGAACCCACGCTGCAGAGGCTGTGGGGAGCTTCACAGCGTGGTGCTCAACCGCCTGAGCCACCAGGGGAGGCCCGAGGCTGAACATTTTTATAGTAAAAGTCACTTACAATCATTTTACTATTTGTGATCTTTGTCCACTTTTCTATAGCTACTGGTCTTTTTCTTACTGAGGTGAGGAGGTTGACTCCTCTAAGTGCCATGAATTACGATATTCTTTCCCATTGTCTTTCATTTTTATTTTCCTTACATTTTCCCTGAAATTTAATAATAGTTAAATAAGACATATGATGCTAATTATTTGTAACAAACTAGCATGTTTTTATAAAATAATGTTTTTAGTTCAGTTGTGCTAGCTCTAGCCACAATAGAAAATCCAACTCAAACTAGTTTAAGCCCAAGAAGGGACTTAACTTTGGGACTTAGGGACTCGGGTGCAGGGCCTGGACTGCACGCTCCCTGTGCTCCTCATAGCTCCACCCTCCTTCATTAGTCAGCTTATCTGGGCTGTGTGTGGCGGTATAGTGGGAACCCAGCAGCTGATTGGACATAGCATCATCCCCAAGGAAAACAGTATGTTGTTTCTCAATCCTTCCTAGAGGAACAGAGGACTCTCCAGAACCTCCCAGCAAAACACTCTGAACTTCACTGGCCCAAACTGGATGATAGGTCCAGTCCTGAACCAGTACTGACATGGGGGGATCACACTGAGCTGGGCAGAAAGCCAGTTTATCTGACACATGCACCTGTATTGTATAGGGTTGGGGACGTCCTAAGTAAAGCTGGCTCATTTTGGAGGAGGCTGCCAGCTAGGCAACCCACCCCCAACACCCCATATGACGGGCAGATGTTTTCTGAGCTCTGACCAGGCATTAGGCCTAGGAGGAGCGGGAGAATGTGGTCATCCATCACAGGGGTGTTAAGGAGCCCTGATACCACCAGAAATAACTGAAAAACATTTAAGGAACAAAAAAGCTTATACTGGGCCTCCCTGGTGGCGCAAGGGGTTAAGACTCAACCGATGGAGCTGTCTGTGGCCACTGCAGTATGAGTTGGATTCCCATCCAGCGAGCTACCCACATGGTGCCGCAGACCTCTCCTGACTCTGCCGCTGCTCCCCTCAGCAGTGTATTTCAGTCAATCTGCCTGTTCTGTTCCCCACTCTGTCTCTGGTGAATCCTCTCACCCCCCGCACCTCTGGCCTGTACCCCAGTTCTTGTATGCATTAATATTTTTTTTTAAAAAAGCTTATACTTAGTGCTTCAAATCTGAATCCACTATTACAGTTATAAACTCAGTGTTCTAAACAGAATGTGACATGAACAAAAAGGGAAAATAAATAATGCTATATCTGAAACGACATGTCTAAATGCCTTACCTTTCAGAAATTCTGAGTTCATTAAAAAACATCACAGTGCAGTTCCTTCTGACCCATCAGCATCCGGGAGCCATGGGAACCAACACAGACCACAGAATGGGACCTGCTTTGATCCAGACTCCACACATCCATGGTTTCAGAGGGATACTCAATACACAGAGCTCTGTTCTATATACAGCATTGTAGGAAGCAGATACATGCCATGCTTCTTGGTTATTTATTTTCTCATAAAATATTTTGCCAGGAATATTTCTCTATTTCTCCTCAGGCACTATCATCTTTTAAGTTTTGGCCTATCGTAACAAACCATTGAGATATTAATTCTTACCCACTGTATCCACTCCCTCTTCATTTTATCATCATCTACGATCTGATAAGTATGATGTCTACATCCCAAAGCAAGCAGTGATAAAACACTAAAATATGTCGCCTGGTGGGTGCCATACAGCCTTCTCTCTGATTTATGTTTTTGTTTACTTTTTCTTTCTTAGTCACAAAAGTGAGCAATCAAGTAGGAGGGATACCAACCTTTTCAGAGACATTCTCACCTAACTGACTGTGTATAAAGTTGTAACACTAGGGAAAAATTCTCATTAAGAACAGATATAATTCTTACAACTCATTAATAAATGGACAAATAACCCAATTTAAAATTGGGGAAGGGATCTGAATAGACATTTATCCAAAAGTGATAAACAAGTGGCCAATAAGTATAAGAAAGAAAGTTCAATATCATTAATCATCAAAACCACAATAACATACCATTTGCATCCAGTAGACAATAGCAAGGATGTAGAGAAAATGGAACTCTTAGAAACTACTGGCAAGAATGAAAAATGGTGCAGTTGTTGGAAAACAGTCTGGCAGTTCCTTAAAAAGTTAAGCACACAGTGCCTCCCTGGTGGCGCAGGTGGTAGAGCGCTGCACTATGAAGCTGTCCGCAGCCTCTGCAGTGCGGGTTCGATCCCGGCCAGCCGGGGAGATTCCCACATGGCACAGCAGACCTCTCCTGTCTCGCCCACTGCTCCCCTCAGTAGTGCTTTCGGTCCATTTGCCTGTTCTGCTTCCTGCTCTGTCTCTGGTGAACCCTCTCACCTCCCACGTCTCTGGCCTGTACCCCAGCTGTTGTATAAATAAAAAATAAATCTTAAAAAAAAAAAAAGGATAGATATCAGATAGAAAAGTCTGCTCTTAGCAATATGGAGATGGAATTAGAAGGGATTATGGTCAGTGAATTAAGTCAGAAGGAAAAAGAAAAATACTGGATGGTTTCACTTATAGGAGGAACATAGGAAAACCAAACAAAGGGCCAGAACAAAAGACAAAACTAGCAGGCAAATTATAGATCCCAGACATGCAGCTGGGGAGGTCAAAGAAGAGCGATCAAAACAGGGGAGGGAATTGTACAAGGGACTAAGGTGATTGTTCACGGGGTAATGCGTTGGCGGGGAGATTTATGGGGATTATATCTCGGGAGAAATCAAGTATTGTACAAATATAAACAACAATGTAAGAAAATAAATCAACTGAACAGAAAAAAAAAAAAGGCTGCTCTTTACCTTTCATGCTGACACAGACGATGGCTGAGAGAGTACATATCACAACTGCCAGGAGAATAATGAGACCAATCAAGTAACTGCTGAGCAGGACTCCACCAGCACAGTTTAGCTTCCCTTTGTGCATAAGATACAATGTCAGAATGCCAATCCACCTGTCAAGAAACGGGGGTCAGAAATGGAACCCAGGAACTGCTTTGGAAATCATTCTGCAGAGAAATACAAGGTATTAATATTTTTCAAATCAAGGTCAATGAAGTTCACTCTGAAATGTAATTACTTGTAAATGTAATTTCCATCAATAAGAGATCTGTATCAATGAATGAGCACGACTTTTTTGGTGTGAGTTTTATTATTTTCTTTGCTTATGTAATTGTTCTTATTCTAAGCCTGCTGTAATGGTACGAGAGAAATTTAAACTCACAAGCAAGCAAATATAATGTGAGCTGCTGGAAAACAGCCCCATTTGTGACAAGTATATGATAGCTAATTAACATTTTTACTTATGCAGATTAAGACATTGACAAACACACATTGTAATGCTGTAATACAAAAACAAGGGGGCAAGAAACAAGCTATGCAAAGATGTTTCATGGTAAAAGCTGATAAATCAAAAGATAAGTGTTGTGGACTCAAACATATCCTGTGTAACTCAGTGTAGAAGGAAAGTCAGCACCAGCTAATGCAAAGAAACAGATCCCTGTCAAACCATTTGGCAAAGCCTCAAGCCCAGACGAGGAACTGGAGGAGCTATTTATGCTTTTGTCAGTTCTGTGAATAATGGAAAAAACCTCGGGAAAACCTGGTTTTGAAACTATGAAGCAGCTCATAACATTACGTTTTTAAATCTCCCTTTCCCTCAAGAATCTATTCTTTTATAACAATGGCATTTGCTTTACTCATTTGACTCATCTGCTCCTAGGAAGAGACTTCAGACACCTAATTCCACCTGCACGCGTAGAAAGAAAAGAGCGTCTCACGCAAAGCCCTTCTGCTTTCCGCGGAATTCAGCCGCAGGCAGCTCAAGAAGGCCGCCTCGGGGCACGACTCCCCGCCGCCTCGGCGGACACGAGCTGCGCGGCGTTACCCCGCGGAGCCCGGGCTGCTGCCGGCCGGGGCGCGGGAGGCCCCGGGCCGCGGCTCGGCTCGGCCGTGCAGCGCCGGCTGCTCCCTCCCCGCGGGTGCTCGCGCCCCGCAGCGCCGGCGCCCGGGCGGCGGGCCCGCCAGTGGGACCCGGGACACGGCCTACCCGCGCCGGGCCGCAGGGTGCGCCCACGAAGTGGGGCGAGGCACAGCTCCGACCTCGCGCGCGGCGGGCGGCGGGGAGGCACCCGAGGCGCCCCGGGCCCGGCGTCCGCGCCGCGCAGTCGGCGCCCTGCGGGGCTCCCCGCTCCCCGCCGCCGCACTCACCACAGCACCCGCAGGAACAGCTCGAAGAACCCCGGGAAGACCAAGTCGTCGCTGGCAATGGCCCAGCGCCGGCCGAAGAGCACCAGCCCAGGCATGGCGAAGGCCCCGCCGCCCGGCTTCGAGCCAGACCGCCGCGCGCGCAGCCTCTCGGGCCCCGCTCCCAGGCGCTGACCCCGACGCCCCGAGGGCGCACGCGGGTTGAGCGCGGCGCAGGCGCACTGACCGCACTGGCCCCGCCGCCCCCGCTGCGCCTGCGCAGACGCGCCGATCCGGAAGACGCGGGGCGGCTTCACCGCGGGTCAGATAGGCTGTGAAGTCGCCTGTAAATATTTCCCTGCTATAGATTAGGGCTCTTCCGGCCGGACCGGCTTAGCCAGCCCGGAGGGCCACGCTGTTCGTGGTGGATCTGGTGTTCATACCCAGGTCTGTGGGACTCCAAGCCTGGGACGAAGCTGCCACCTGCCTGCCCTCCGCAGTCAGGGGTGCCTCGTCGGGATCCTTCTCGAGTTCAGGGTCTAAAATTCCCCCTCACCCCGACAGCTTGGGGTGGGAGTTGCCTGATCGGCCCTCCTTCCTCCCTGGCAGGCTTGTCGCTGATTGTCAGCGTCGGACCACTCTGCGCCTGGTAAGAGCCACTTTCATCCCGGGCTTGGACGGTTTCCCTGTTGCTCTCCCTGATTGTCCCCTGCCCCCTTCCTACAGTGCATTTCCCCTACAGCAACTGGGCTGACCTTGTACCCTCAAACTTGACCCATCCTCAGCTTAGGCTGTTGCAAAAGTACTTTGCTTCAAGTAGACTTCTCCCTCGCAGAGGCCTTTCCCTGGTTGTCACGCATCCCAAGTCTGTAAATGCATGTTTGTCTGTCTCCCAGAGTTGGGTTACTACTCTCTCCCTCCATCACTCCATTGCCTCCACCCCCTCCCCTCAAAAGTCAAGCACATTCTTACCACAGGGCTTTTACATTCCCTGTTTCCTCCCCTCCCAACGCTTCCTCCCGTAGGTATTTCCATGTCATTCCACACGGGGCCTCAGCTCAAGTGTCACAGCCTCAGAGATGCCTTCCCTGCCACCTTATCTTAAACAGCACACCCACTAGTTCCCATTCCCTTCCTGCTTTAGTTTCAGCCTTAGCACTTAGTCACTCCCTGCCATTGTATCACATGTTTATTACTTCTTTCATCTCAGGGGTTAAGTTTTATGAGCACAGGCACCTAGTCCATCTTGTTCTCAGTTATGTACATGAAATACTTGATGAGCAAATGCATTAAATGTCGACATTTTGTAAGTCTGAAGTTCCTTCATGTATTTTCTAGAGCGTGTAACGTCAGGGTTAAACAATTAAATGTAATATTGAAATTGTATTGCTGGTTGTGAAAATGATATAGGAAGCCATAAATAGCAGAGTTGCCAGGTTTTTATGGGGAAAAAAAAAATCATTCATCCGTAAGAGAAATATTTATTGGGTATTGGTGTGGCTAGAAGTGACTTAATCAAAGAGGTGAGGGAAGACCTCCCTAAGAAGAAAGTGCAATCTGGAAGAAGAATGGTAATTAAATGAAGTCAGAATGTTGTGCTCACACGTCCACTGAAATGTAGTTCCTTTTTGATAATAGGATTTGTAAGGCTTAGCAGTAAGATCATGCTTCTAAATAAACTTTTTAGTAAAGATATGCCTAATGTTACAAACAATAACCACCTACAGAGCTATAATTTCAGAGGTAGTATATACATTTTTTAAAAAGTGTATTTTGTATAGCTCTAATAACTGCAAATATATCCTGCCATTCCCATGCATGTTATTACATTGACTGAATTAGACCTATTTCAAAACACACCATCATGTGGGTATCTCATACAACACATGTTCATTCCCTTATTTTAGATACAGGTTTTTCAACTTTCTGCTATTAAAAAGTTATTTAAAAATAGATCTTTAGAAATACCTATTTAAAAAAAAAATGCTATTTCCAAAATGAAATATCCAAGTCAAAGCAGAGCACTTAAAAACATAACTGATGCATCATGACTTTTTAAAGGTTTATTTTTATATATTTATGCATATAAGAACTGGGGTGTAGGCCAGTGGTACGGGGTGGGGGGCGATGAGAGGATTCACCAGAGACAAGAGTGGGGAGCAGAACAGGGAGAGTGACTGAAATACACTGCTGAGGGGAGCAGAGGGTGAGACAGGAAAGGTCTGCTACGCCACGTGGGTCAGCTCCCTGGCTAGGAATCGAACTCATGCTGCCCTGGCTGCTGATAGCTTCATAGTGCTGAGTCTTAACCCCTTGAGCCACCAGGGAGGCCCCACAATTCAGATTTGAAAAGGGGTAGCATGCTGTCATATTTACCGGCTTGAATTTTGGGAAAAAACTTTATCTTTCTCCGCTTTACTTTCAGGTTATTTTCACTAATGATTTGCAAATTACTAAGTAAGTACCTTTCAGAGACATTCTTGGCATTTCATTTTATCTTCACATTAATTTGGATGTACTGATTTGTTACTCATTGTTCCAAATCAATTGATTCATATCTTCCCCTATTTCTCCTTCTAGGACCTGTTTTTAAATTTGGGTAAAATCTGACACTGAGTAAAATTAGCCTCCTTACATTTAATTTTTGTTGCTATTTTTTGTTAGGAGGGGTTACTCAGATGATCTTTCAGGAACTTGGATTGTTGTTTCTCCAAGCATTCTTTAAAGTCCCGAGATACTCAGTTCTTAGTACTCGAAGTAAACAAATCACTATTTTAGTTTCAGGGCACACTGATTTCCATATTACAGGACCATTTATCTTAGAAACTTTATTAGATGTGTAAGTAGGTTCTGTATTCCCATCCTGTTTTGATAATAGAGTCAAGTGTAGTTTAGTGTTTGCCTGAAGACTCTCACCTTTTAAGTGCCTAAACTTACTGGGAGTAGAGATTGGAGTATTACAATCTACTATTTTAAAACAGTACCCTTGTCATTATTTAAAAGGATGAGTGCTAATTTTATGTTGAAACTTACTTTTAAATTGCAGGGATCAAAGAAGGAATTGTTTCAGAACTGGAAGAGAAACACCCACAGCACCTGCACAAGGTTCCATGCTACAAAGCTAATCTATTGCCAGTCTGGGGTTTAGGGAATCCTTGGCCAACCGCAGGTTCCTTGAAAATTCCATGTTCACCACCAGAGGGCGAAAGAATACAGGAAAAAAACCCAAAGCCCCAATCCACTCATCCATTATTGGCTTACTTCAGATGGGTGGTTTTGAAAGGTACCTAGGAGTCACTTTCTATCCATGAATTGCCCTCCTAGTAAGAGCAAAACTGACTTTTGTCATCAAATGGGCCAAAACCTGTTCTCAGCCAGCTTTCAAGGCACGAAGGAAGGGAGAATGGGCCCATCAAAGAGCTGAGCACTTAATTGCACTGCAATCTGCTGTCTCAACATGACATCTCAGTGTAACCCTGTGGCAGCAGGGTGACCTATGGCAGAAGTCCTAGATGTAACTGAGGGGAAGGAGGCTCATGTTAAACCCAAAGTCAGAGTTAGATTGTGGGAAACTAAGACTCTTAATATAAAAAGCTTTTGTTTTTCTACTTAAGGTTACCGCAAATCACTTAGAATTTCTACTGAAACAAGATCTTTGCCTGTTCCTTTCAAGAAAGTATCCAATCTCATGGCATCTTAAAAGGTTGGGAGGTATCTTCTCCAGCAAAGCCTTTCCACCTGCAACTCTTTTTTGGTCACCTATTTCTCTACCTACTCCTCTCTTGATCAAACTATAAGGAAGCATGAAATGTCATTTGCTCTGTGAAGGAACAAGATGGACAGGGGCTGAATTGGTGTTTGTAAGCATCCAAGAGCCAGCAGGTTTTTATGGAGTCATCACTTAGTGGGGCAATCTATTAACTTTACTTTATTTCTCTTACTATCTACATTAAAAAGAAACCACTCACACAAATAAAGCAGCTTGGTTAAAAAAATATTAATTACCTGATAACCTTTATTCAGGAAGTGAAAGTAACTCTGAAACAGTGCTTCATAAGGCGTGTCATACAAGGCCTTTGCTTCCAACATGTGCGAGGACTCTGCCCAGTCCCACATCTCCACGCAGGCACACTATTATTAAGATGTCATCCTGGTTGGCTACAAATTGGTGGTAACATCTTAGTCAGTTTTATCTGTACTTGGGTAGAACAACTAGAGAAGACATGGATACTTCGTAAGTCAGGCGGTGTGCTGAGGTCCCAGATCCTTGTTCTAGTAATTGTGCTCTCCAATCAGTGATCCCAGCTTGTTTGATTTACATGCACAAAAACTGATGTGAGCCCCCCACCCACCCCGAGTGTGGGCAGCAAATAGTCTGTCCTACTTATGATGGGATTTTCCAACCTTCTTCCACACTCTCAGAATCTTCAAAGGAGAATGAAAACAGAAACTAAAACAAGACTAAGATGCTGGAAATAAAGATACTCTTGATGCACAAAAGAAAAACATGAGGCAAGGGGGAAAGCAAAATGAGAAAGACAGAACTACACTGCCAATGTAGAAAAATACTAAGAGATACACTACATCAAAATAAAACCCACCCAGCTCCCTTCTTCCACAAAGTATTTTAATGCAGCAAGCAAAAATTACATCCTCCTTATAGTAAGCACTGTTAGTACTCAACACTTTAACATTTATGGTGCATCGCATAAAAACAAAGTCAGATACTTTTGCATAAATCAAAAAAATGTAGTAAATCAATATAATGGCAGAAATGGGAGGGAAATACCAATTTTCCCACAAAAAAAACAGGTTTTACATTATTAAATGGATAATAACTGTTTGCATCTCGAAAGAGTACTTATGGCCAATTGAAAAACTGAAAAAATATCATCCTGACATAGGATGTTCCAAAAGCCTAATTCATAAAAAAGACAATTTATTCTATATTTAATAAAATGTTTATTTAGGATGGTAACACAAGATAAATCATGCAAGAGCTTAGTAAAAACAAAACAAAAATGAAAGCATATAAGAAATGGCAATTGGTGTTGCCAATTAAAGAAAAAATGTGAATAATTACTACCCGAAAGCAATATGAAGGACATTTTGAATCTAAGCATGGACATGGTTGTAGGAATTTTTTTGAATTGTAAATTAAAGTCACAGGTAACTACATGTCTTTCATTCCTCAAAGGAGTCAAGCCCTAGATCCTAAATAGTCATAAATGTCCCTTGAGTCCTGCACTCAAATGGCAAGCAGCCCAGAACCTCTGCCCACTGAGTTTTCCGACACACTTGAGACAGTCTTAAACTGACACCTCTTAGCAGGGGAGGAAGGCAGGCGCCTTTGGTGACTCTCAATGACACTCTGCTACATTTAGAATCTTAGTTTGGTAATGCAAACTGTTAAGACTTGTAAGCCATTCTTAACAGCCTTAACTGTAGTGTTTTGATGTCCAAGAAAGGATTTCCACATCAGGTGCGAAGAAATTTGAACAGATATACCAAATTGAATATAGTGCCTCAAATTTCAACAAATATTAACTCAGCTCTTGGCAAAAAATAAATATAGTGGAATGTAAGTTTGCTAGATCCAAGAATATATATAATCTACCAAACATCAAGGAGTACAATTTCATTGCAGACAAAAAAATCAACAAATTCAAAGAATTAAAAAAAAGTTGCACTTATTCCTCACAAAACCTTCACTTTTGGAAGTACCCCAATTGAAGCTACACACTGAATTTATTAATACAGCATTAAGTTTCTTTGTGTAAAAAAATCTTTGTACATAGTAATAAAAAAAGATAAGGCAAGATGCATCAAACAGAAACCTCTGGTTCTTTTCCTCTGGGTATTACAGAGCCACTGATGACGATCTGCAACAAGAGTGAAGTTTCTGGTTTTCCATATCAAGCATCTTGTGCCTTTGCTGTGGTAAGAATTCTGTCCGAGCACCCTGAAGGACAGATGCTGGTGATGGTCTTTGGCACTTACGCTGGCAGACTGAGCTTCTTTCCCTTGAGCACTAGAATTTTAAAGAGAGGAAAAGAAAACAAAAGGTTGCATATATTGACAAGTTGAGTTTCCTGCTTCCTCGTCCTACAAGACACTACATTAGCAAAGAGCCCAGAAACAGTCTTTTGGTAACAAATAGTCATTTGATTTTGGTGTCAATAAATGAAGCCCTCGATCTATGAAAAAGTCATGCACATACAGACTGACATTTTCTTGTTTTATTTAAATTAAATCATTTGTAGATGATTTTAAATAATTAAAGCTGATGACCTCAGCTTTACTGAGGTATAATGAATAAAAAAATTGTAAAACACTTAAAGGGAACATCATGTGATTTGATATATGTTTTTATCGTTAAAGAACTTCCACCATCTAGTTGATACATTATCACCTCACATCAATATGGGTATTTTATTAGTGTACCTGACATAGCAATTGTATATGAAAATACAAATAGGACTGAAATTCCTATTAAGTTCACAGAAGCTTTTTGGTATAATCACTTTCCTCTCTGGTCAACACATATTAAAATATAACTATTATGTAGAGATGTCTACGAAATCTTGGCCATCATTTAAAAGAAAAGGGAGATGATATAATCCACTAGTAGGAATTTTATATTACAGCAGGGATTCTTATCTTGTGGTCTTTGGTGGGTTCCAGGGACCCCTGCATCCTCTAAAGCTATATGCATACATTTGTATGCATATACTATGCCTCATTTTTTTTTTTTTAAGCAAGGACATGGCTTTTGCCATATTTTTGTTAAGTTCATATGTTCCACACTCACCTCAATGCAAATATATACATATACAAGAATGCTAATTTAAGCACTGTATTTCAAAAGAAGCAAATCAGTAATAGCTTAAATACCCATAAACAGGGGACTAAGTAAATTTGGTAACGCACATAAAGAAATATTTATTGACATAAAAACATTAACAGTAATTTTCTCTGAATGGTAGGATTTCAGGAGACTGTCTTCAAAATTATTCATTTTGATTGAATTTTTTTTACAATGAAAGCATGCCACTGCAGAAAAACAGCTCAGTAAGCGAAAAAGACTAAACACCCTGACCCAGGATTTTGACAGTCATTAAAATGTTTTTCTGAAGCCAGTCCTGATTTATGAACTAGTGACTGACTAGGAGCAAAGGAGCGCCCCAAAGCACACAGGGCTGTGGGACAAAGCAAGCAGGGCATGGCCCAACGTACCTTTTGTTATATACAAGTAAAAGAAGTCACAGTAGAGAATGGTCTGGACAACACCGGCCACGACAGCGATGAGGTCAAAGAAACCCTCAAAGTAGAAGCGCCAGATCCAGTTGACGAGATACAAAGCACGGTAGAGGCCCAGGAAAAACAGGTAATGGGTGGTGATGGTCTCTGCCTCCCCGGTCTTGCTGATCATGAAGAGCTGTGGAAGGATAGCCACCGATTCCAGATAGATGGAGAAGGTCCACAAAATCTGTAAGAGAAAATGCAGCTTTGGTTAGCATCTAGGGCCCACTGTGAACTCACGGGAAATACCCTAACTTTATGGGGGAGCAGCATAAAAAGAATCTGAGTATCTAAGCCTAGAATCAGGTAGCTTAGCAATTTAATAAATCACAGAAATAGAACTACAGTTAAGAGGCATGGTCATTCCCAGTGACAGTTGAGTGGCCTAGACATCTGTACCTTTGCACTTTTATCACCTTGTCTCCCATGTGTGGTTTTTCCATGTGCAATTTTCTGTGTATTTTCTACATACATATATAATGCTTCTCCTGGATAAGCTTGTCCTATTCTGAATCTGGGTGGATTTCTTCAGTCAGAGTCAAAACTGATAGCCAGATTCCTTCCCCTTCTTCACTGCTATTTTTCCTCTCCAATTGTCTCCTTCCAGACTAGTTAAATACTCTCACTAGTTTTCTTATTTAGGCTTTTTTCGAGTGGTTAAATCCCAGGGATAATTTGGAGTTGTAATCATGCAAATTCTCTGCCCAACATGGTACCTTATTAACTCTGGAGGCAGAAGGACTTGGGAATACTCCTTGGAGTGTGTTAAAAACCTAGGTGCCTCCAGCACCCATCACAAAGCCCAGAGTAGCTCAGTAACCTAATGGAGCCTAGAATACTAGGGAGGACAAGGCACTTAGGAGTAGCCACAGCACTGTACAGAGACGGGGACAGAGCAAATCACTCATCTTCCAAGCAAGGAGTACAGCAGTGTTGCTTCGGGGATTCACTGACATGTTATCAATGTGTGACACCGTCCATGAATAGGAAACAACAGTTGGGTCAGAGTTGGGAGACCACACCATCCAAGCACTCTGACAGGCAGGCCACTGTTTGACACACCAAAGAAGTCATGTTTATATTCTAGAGGAGAGTCAGGTAATAAGCTGTTAGCAGAACCCAAATATCTGGGTGCTAATTTCTGTCTATGATTAATTTACCCTAAATAGTGCATGTTGTACCAGAAGCTTCCCAACTTAAAAAAATTTTAAAAACCAGAACAGGTTATTCTGCAAACAGGTCTATTTCCCCAGGGCACCAGGATGAGAACACTAAGTGACTTCTTAACTAACCTCGAGAGGCGAGAAATCGTGATTGACTAGAAACGAGAGGCCTCCCACAGGGACCACCAGAAACTCGACTCGGAAGGTATCATGATTTCCATCATAGGTTGCCTTAAATTTCATGTAGATCAAATATACTGTCGCATAGGAGCAGGCAATGTAGATAAGCTAAAAACAAAAGAGAAAATATGAGGTCATCAAAACCATACAATTGTTTCAACTCCCTTGGTTTTCTACATCATCTATATATCAATTAATTTAATTTTTTTTAAATTTTTACAAGAATTAGGGTATAGGCCAGATGTGCGAGAGGGTGAGAGGACTCACCAGAGACAGAACAGGGCACAGAACAGGCAGAACGACTAAAACACATTGCTGAGGGGAGCAGTGGGCTAGACAGAAGAGGTGTGCCGCGTAATGTGGGTTGTTCTGCGGCCAGTGGGGATTGAACCGGCACTGCAGAGGCTGCGGACAGCCTCATAGTGCTGTGCTCAACCGCCTGCACCACCAGGGAGGCCCTATATATCAATTTTTAATTTAAAAAATAGTGTAAAATTCACTTCTTTGGGACATACAGTTCCATGAGTCATATAACCTAAACCACAATCAATTAACAGAATGATTTTATCCATACCCTCAACTCAACAATTTCTTCATGCTGCCCCTCTATAGGCAAGTCTCCACCCACTCCCAGCCGTAATTGCTGGAAATTGCCAATCTATTATTGGCCACTGCAGTTTTGCCTTTTTGAGAACACTACATAAATGGAGCCATGCATATGCTGCCTTTAAAATGGGTTTTTTATAGTTAGCATAATGCATTTGAGATCCAACCATGCTGCTGCATGTTTCTGTTTCTTCATTTTATTACTGAGTGGTACCTGGAAGTACCAGTTTATTCACTTACCAGTCATGGACAGGTGGGTTATTTCCAACTTGGGGAATGGTGGATAAAACTGCTATTAACAATTATGTATAGGGCCTCCCTGGTGGCGCAAGGGGTTAAGACGCAATCTATGAAGCTGTTGGCAGCCTCTGCAGCATGAGTTCAATCCCTGGCCAGGGAGATACCCACATGGCGCAGCAGACCTCTCCTGTCTCGCTCTCTGCTCCCCTCAGCAGTGTACTTAGGTCGATCTGCCTGTTCTGTTCCCCACTCTGTCTCTGGTGAATCCTCTCACCCTTGACACCTCTGGCCTGTACCCCAGCTCTTGTGTGCATAAATAATCTTAAAAAAAAAAAAAATTATGTATAAACTTTTGTGTGAACACAAGCTTTCTTTTCTCCTGGATCCCACCTAGGAGTAAGACTGCTGGATCGTATGTTAAATATAAGTTTAATTGTAGAAACTGCAGTTAATTTTTAATCTCATTTTAAACTACTAAAATAGCAGTTTGTGAAAAAAATGAACACAAAGGTCGATGCAGTTCAAAACCAATGCCCTTCTCTTCGCTATGAAGGTATTTCTTACAGCTTGCCTAAAGATCAGATAAACAATGTAGCTCATGCTAATCTTGGCAATGCTGGCTTTACTTAAATTGTTATTTAACACTGAACACTCAGATTGTTGCTATGAAATTCTGTCTTTGGTAACGTAACAAAAGCAAAACCAAAAGTAAGTGATAACTTGTGAAACATTGCTGCCTACAAGGGATAGATTTTGTTCACATAGTAGTAAAGCTGTTAAAGCATAGCTAGTAAATTACATGTTCTTTCATATTCAAAAAGTCAAACACCACATATTCATCTAACTCAAAGGAAAAGTCTTATATTCTGAAATACACCAATTTTCAGATTGCAGAATTTTAGGCCCAAGAACCAAATAAGAGACTTAGCTTATGGACAGCGACAACTGGGATATCTTTTGGAACTTGTTCAATTTAATTAGGAAGTCATTTGGGAAATGACTTAATAGGAAAATAAGAGCAACCATCAAGCTATCATAGGCTTCAAAACATAACAAAGATAATCAACAGTCCTTGGCATCTCACCAGGAAGTTATATTGGCAAATAAAAAAATCAACAAAATTTAAGTATGATGTGAGTGTAGTTTCTGACACAGTATAGCCCATATTAGTTATGTTAAAGAAGTTTCCTTCTATCATCAGCTTTCTAAGAGATTTTATTACTTTGAGCTTTTCTTCATCAAATGCTTTCTGAACTATTGAGAGAGCTAAATAATTTAGTCCACCAGTATGGTGAAAGGTTTAAAATTGTTGGTCATACCCACACAGACCCCATACTAAAAAAAAAGCCTAAACAAACCAAGGAAGACAACCATTGTATACTTTGTTTTCTACACACACACACACACACACACACACACACACACACACACACACACACACACACCATGAATATGAATAGCATGTCACCTATAAAACCAAAATACACATACATCTATACATACAATCTCCTGCAGCAGAACATCCATTCAAGCTCACAGTAGCTGGGGGGTCCTCCTGAACCTAGTCTATAGCCAGATTATGTCCATCATGGCTTCAGCAGTCACTTGGGAAAGAAACTGCTTTTCTCCTCTAATCAATGCTCTGCATTTAAAATAAAAAGCTACCAGAACACAAAACTCACCTGTCATTCCTATGATTTTTAGGAGATTATGCTTAGAAATCAGAACCAAGTAAGTATTCCTTGGAAAGAGAGGTATCCTGAGGGGGAGAGGAGGAATTCTTGCTCACTTGCTTCTGATACCTGCAGTTTTAACTTCCTAGACAAGCAGGGATCTAGCCATTTTTAAGAACACTAAGGAGTTCCTGACAGCCATTCCTTAGTAACAGAGTACCAACAATCAAGCACCTACACTAGTGCCCCGCAAGCATTTATAGAATCATTGCCCCATGTTTTCCTCTCATAGCAGTTATCACAAGCTGCAGTCTTTCAGTTTGTCTGCTGATGATGGGTCTAGTCTCCCCCACCAAACAGTAAGTCTCCTGCTGGTTTTCTGCCCTGTCCTCCGTGCTAGAAGGTGTCCAAGCCTATATGAGCTTAAGGACCACGTGAAAGAGCAGAGGTCTCCCTAAGCGTGAAGTGTGTACCACCACGGTTTATGTTAGGTGCTACAAAAACAGTTTATGGTGTTTTTTTTTAAAGATTTATTTATTTATGAATACAAGAACTGGGGTATAGGCCAGAGGTACGGGGAGTGAGAGGTTTCACCAGAGACAGAGTGGGGAAAAGAACAGGCAGATCGACTGAAATACACTGCTGAGGGGAGCAGCGGGCAAGCCAGGAGAGGTCTGCTACGCCATGTGGGTTGCTCGCCATGGGGATTGAACTCATGCTGCGGTGGCTGTGGATAGCTTCATAGGTTGTGTCTTAACCCCTTGCACACTAGGGAGGCCCCCTACAGTTTGTGTTTTAATAAACATTTGTCTTTAGAATAATACAAGGACACTAAAGGTATCATGGATACTAATCCTTAAGGCAAGTTAGAGGGTTTAAAAACAATCTAAGGGGCCTCCCTGGTGGTGCAGGTAGTTGAGCGCAGCACTGTGAAGCTGTCCACAGCCTCTGCAGTGCCTGTTCGATCCCCGCCGGCCACAGAGCAACCCACACGGTGGGGCAGACCTCTCCTGTCTCACCTGCTGCTCCCCTCAGCAGTGTTTTTCAGTCAGTCTGCCTATTCTGTTCCCCGTTCTGTCTCTGGTGAATCCTCTCACCCTCCTGCACATCTGGCCTGTACCCCAGTTCTTGTATAGATGGATGGATCTTTAAAAAAAAATAATAATAAACATCTAAGTAAATTAGGGCAAATGCTGCTTAAGCACAGCAGAAATAAAAAAATGCACATATAGAAGTTTAAGACAGATATAAAAAACAAGGAGGAGATGCCTACACAAATCCCTCACACAGCAGCAAAATGAGACACTGCAGCAAGGAGCCACTTTCATTCCTTGTTCTGAACTGACTTGCTGGGTTTCCCAGGGAATCTGTAATTTCTCACTGCTTGAAACATAATTGCCACCCTTTTTTTTGTGGGGTTATCAAGAACTTTAGAAGTTTATCATACTCGAGGAACTTAGCATTTCAAAATCTTTATGTGCAAAGTACTTTAATTAAGTAGATGCTGCTTTAAAACAAAAAATAGGCTTAGTGGTAACTCTATATCTAGTTACATGTACAAGGTGGTCTAAAAGTTTAAGTCAAGAACACCATGTTTAGACATTATTCTTGAAGATATTTAAGTAAACATGCAGCTGACAAAAACTCCAGTTTTCACGGGCCTGTGAATTATGGGTAAAATACATTCCCCCTTGCATGCCATACCATACCTTCATAGATGTATTATATAATGAAATAAATGAAGTAAAAAGATCCAGGTAACGAGTTGTGAAGACCAGTGCAAACAGAAGTTGGCTTTTTCCAGAAATACCTGGAGAAACAAAGGAGAGCATCAGAAAAGCCCTGAAGAGTGTAATGATTCTGTACATAATGCTGTGCATAACGTACAGATATAGTAAGCAAGACACCAGGGGTCAAAGGCCAATGTCTGGGATGATGCTAAATAAATGAGAACAGTTTTAGTTTTTCTTTCCCTTAATATTTTTGCTTCCATGGGGAGCATCTAACAACTTTTCTCTCTTACTATGATGAGTGACTCTGGGAAAGTGATTTACTTATGCCATCACCAATGTACCAGGATGTATATCATTCAAATGAACATTATAATCCTTAAATATGTAACCTCAGCTAGGAATAAATTTGATACTCGTTATTTAGTCTTGTAAATTGTTACTTTTAGCATCTTACTTTTCGTTTTAAAACAATACTTCATGATAACTAATCTTTCTAGGACTGAAATAGTAACTAATCTTTTTAGGACTGCAATGACTAAGGGGATGAGGAACCAGGTGGAGAACCTCCATCCCGCCCCCATGACAGCAGTGTGGCCTCCCAAGGTGACTTCTCTGGTGAGGGCATCAGTTGGACACTGATTTTTAAAATTCCATCTCTTAGATTCAGCACCCAACCAACTTCATACTACCATAAAAACGTTCCTGAATGTTATGCCAACACAAGAATGGGAACCTTTAACTATGCCAGTCAATCAGAGCAGCAGTCTGTTTTTAACATCTTGAAACTACCACCTCCAACAAGCAACCCACCTCCAGAGCACGACTGTGTCTCATGGAGACTCAGCTGGAGAAGTTTAGAAGGTCACATAGCAAGCATGCTTTTCTGACATCTATATTTCAACAAATATTTATGTCAAGGGACTGGAAACACGGGTTTTGGATGTTGGAGAGTAAGTGAATTCACTACGGAAAATGAAGGCTGACTAGCTATCAGAACACACTCACCCTCATCTACAGTGCAAACTTCACACCACCAGATATTTAAGTAAGCAGGTATTTAGCAGAAATACCAGTTTCCAAATTATTAGCACTATTCCCCTGGAACATGAAAATCACATTGTTTAAAAATATTTTACAAGCCAATTTTGTAACTGAAAGTCAGTCCGGATAGAAGCTGCTTTTTATATATGAATAACTGCAGTTCCAGTCTATTCACCAACACCTAGATAGAAACTAAAAGAAATTTCTTTCAGTTTCTGTGCTTCTGAAACTATCAGTAGTAGCTAATTTCTGGGCCAAAAGGTAGAGATACAGCCAGTAAGACTTTTCTTTTAGACTTTCCTGCAATAATGGGAAACTTTTTTCCCCTATAGAAGATCACTGTTCCAAAGGAGAAACAATGGGGATGCCAGTGACATAAAACCAGGGAGACAGAGGACAAGAAGGATAGGGAGCATGTGTGGGTCACATACGACATTGAAGCCTTGAAAGATATATTTCCTATATAGTTCTAACACTTTAAATGAAAAATTATAGGGCACGCATGGCATTTTTGTTATAAGGGCTTTGTTCTAATGGGATTTTGGCAGTAGGCATATGGGAAATTTTGCCATTGTCAGCATTCCTATGCTAACCGTCAGGGACTATCCTACTGCTTTTACTAGGCCCCTCTGAGGCCCAACTCACACATCACTTCCTCTGGGAAGTCATCTTTGAAGACAGCCTTCCTTGGTACTATTTATTCATTCAGCAAGTACACAATGGGAACTGCTTCATGCCAGCCACTGCTCTCCATTACAGTACTTATAAAAACACACCGTGATAATCTGATGGCCTGTCTCCCCTCTCCTATACCCCGCACCAGACACTAAGCTCTCCAAAGGCTGGGGTCATGACTTTTTCCATTTTGTATTCTCTGTGCTGAGCACTCGGTCTAACACATAGCAGGGCTAAGAAAATATATGCTGAGTGGATGAACAAGTGAACAAAAGAAAATGGAATATATTTTATTTCATGTCATGGGGTAAATTCTCATTTTGCAATTTTTCTGGATAATACTTTCAAACAGTTCTTAAGTCATTCTGTGTCTCTATCACGGTAAACAGACAGTGTGCTTTGGGCCCTGCCCTAATTAACTACCATGAAAGGGTGGGCAAACGCCTTGGGCAGAGCATGGATAGAGGAGCAGGCATGTGGCCTGGAGCTTATCCAGTGGTACAGAATCCACACAGGAGCCACCATGATGGGAATCTGAGGATGCTTCTGTCACTTTACTCTCTTTTCCCTGCCTGTGAACTTGATTAATAAGAAGTAACTTTTTCTTTTAAAACAAGAAACCTTTCCTGCCTTCAGAGCAAGGCACGGGTCCTAACTGAAGACAGAGCAGGGGCAGGAATCTCCTTCTGGGGGGAATCCTGCTCCCAAGGTCAGTTCTGTCTTGGGATCAAAGCATGCAAAGGCTATCAGGTAAAAAGCTCTCACAGAATAATCACTGAATAAAAGCCCACAATTATACACTGTGTATGTTACTTTAAGTGCCAAGTGAAAAGTTTCTTATATTCCCATTGCCTTATAAAATAGAACCTTCAACCAAAGAGAAAAGTTTCCATGAATTATTTTTGTCCTGGTCACACACTGGGGATGCTTCCAAACTCTGTAGGCCAGACCACCAGGATAATCTTCACAGTGGCTCTCAGCAAGGGTGAGCTCATGGTAACCACTATCTCAAAGGAGTTATCTACTTTCCTAAAGACCAGCTAACTTTCTCTGGAACCAGTAGCCCCATAGTTAGAAACCACTTCATAACACTACTCTTGGATTTAGGGAGACACCTTGGAGTCAGAGGGTCTAGGTTCAAGCTCAGTTACCCCATTTAGGGTAACTGGGCTCATTACATTATTGGTCCTTCCTAAACCTCACTTTCTCACCTATCAATTGGGGACAAATTAAGCCAACTTTGTGGGATTGTTAGGAGGAGGAAAAGGTGACAGCTGCTATAAAAAGGGTGCTAGGAATGTGATGGCAAAGCTTCTTGAAGCACTTGATGACAACAATAAAAGATGTTCTCCATTTGCTTCAAAAAATATAAACTGATTATGTAAAATGCATATGCGTGAAATGCCTATGCCCCCTTCATGTTTGGTAGATGAAAAATCTAAAGCCTATATAACCACAGGAAACAGCAATCTAAACAATAGGTGGAGGAGGGAAAGGGAGAGAATAAAGGAGGAGGGCTGGGAGTCATGGATCCCAGAAGGACTCCACTAGTGATTTAAGCCCAATGGATAGAGCTCTGTTGGTAACTGTCGGCCTGCAGGAAAACGTAGATAGGACGTTCTGCATCTATAAACCAAGGCTTCCTCTCCCAAAGCCATCCACATCAGTGTTTAAGACAAGAATAAAGAGATAATTGTGGTTCCAGCTGCAATGACAGTTCAGAAATAAGAAAAACACACTTCATTTGGGCATCCCTCTGAAATAGCAATGGCAGCCACAGGAAAATACTGATTCAAACAAAGGTAAACCAAGATCATGCCCCCACTTTAACACAGGTCCTTTAAGACAGATGTTCTCAATTAGACAGTCAGGAAAACAGAGTCTCCATCTTCTTCATTGACCTGTCTCATCCCTCACCCCAAGGGAAAAAAACAACATGATTCTGAAGCTGCAGGCATGTTCAAAACATGTGCCAACATCCTAATGTGAACCTCAAACCAGTATTTTCAAAGCGAGAAACACAACCTGGATGACTCCAGTTGTTTGAGAAACTCATATCAAATTCTTACTCCTTCAATAGTCTCTAAACAATTTCTATAATTTAGGATGGAAAAACAAAGCTGGTAGTTAAATTTGGTGCTAAATTCTGATGATTTTGATATTTAAAATGTCAGGAAATCTCATGTACAAGAACTAAAACAATCCTAAGCCTGAGGATGAAATTAGATTAACAATGGCCTATAACTACAGTTAACTATAGGAATACTTGGCAAACTCACATGAACTTAATTTATTGTCCACATTATTTTGACTCTGGTATTTTATATTTTCCTAAATGTTCCTAATATCCCAAATGAAAACAGTGAACGTTAAAAAACAAACAAAACATCATGCCCTTTCACCTTCTCCTTAAAAATTCTAAGGAGGTCCCCTTAAGAATTCTATTTACAGAGTAGCACTGAATTCTCTCATACATCTTAGTTTTTAGACACATTTAGGAGACAGGATGCCTAACACTAAAGAATACATCTTTAAAATTCTCATTACAAGAAGAAAACACCGCAAGTGTGGGTGGTGATGTTAACCAAACTTAATGTGGTACATATTTTGTTACATGTATCAAACCCCAAACTAATACAACATAACAAGTCAATTATATCTCAATAAAACATGGAAAATAACATTTTCTTAGTGTAATAAAAAAGTGCCCTAAACTATGGGTCTGACATCAAAGTAGACAGAAATCCTTAATGGAGAGTTACTGCTTGCCTGTGTTTCAATCCTGGCTCTTTACCACTAATTTCCTCACCTCCCTTAATCTCAGCTTCTTCCCTCACAGAATGAGGACAAAAGAACAATTCATAAGGTTATTTTAAGGACTACATGGGATAAGCCGCTTAAGGCATTTAGCTCATTACCTAGTGAGTACCCTTAAATGTCAGCTACAATTGCTGCAATTATTTTGCTGTCAGTGAAAATCACACATTTGAACCTCTCAGAACTGTGAAAATTGAGAACCTCCAAGCCAGATATGCTGGTTTCAGTACATGGACTTTGTAACATCCATTTTGATTGCTCAAAGGTCTTTTGCTTACTTCCTGGATCTCAGCTATGTTCCAGGGAGACAGGTGAGGCCTGAAGACAGCATTCAAAAGATGTGGTGTAACTTTAGATGTGGAGATTCTTAGAACTCAATGAGGTAAATGGAATCTTTGCACCCAGGTCCTTTCATCTTTTACTGCCTCTGCAAAATTAAAGTTCTTGAATTCATCAAAAGTTATTTCTCTTAAGCAATGTTACCAAAAAATAAGTCTATGAAAGACACTGCATTTTAAGAAATTACTTTAAAATTCTCCATTCTTAAGCTTTTAAGATGAGTGAAATATAAAACTTTACAACTAATATCTGGAAAGACGCGTCTCACTGCCTCCCAGCAAAGCATGCGTGAAATGTGCACTCCCCGGGAGGGAGTCGCCAACTCACTGGTGACGTGGAGTGAGGAGTTACAGGAGGCAGGCAACCTCCGCGGTACCCGGCGCCGCAGATTTAAGAGCAGCCGTTATTAGATGGAGGAGCTCAGATCGGACAAATCAGTTCTGTTGCTCAAAACAGCATTAACTGCCCCCAAGGAACTCACTTAGCGACCTCCCCACCCCCCCTCCCGTGGCGGGCATGATCCTGCACCCGAGCGCTGGGGTGAAGCCCGCATAAACTGGGGACAGTGCTCACTCGACACCTTAACCTGAGGGCCGGTCCTGCAAGGGGCAAAGTGGGGGACGGGATGACCTCTCCCCGCGCCAGCCCCACCTCCCGGGCTGGCCTGGCTGCCACGTCAGGCCGAAACCGCCGCGATCCTGCCCATCCTCCTCCCGCTTGTCCCATTGATTCGCCGGCTCCCAGCACTCTGGACCCCGGTCCAGGACACCCGACCCGCGCGCCGAGAGAGCCCATTAAAGCCGGGCTGCGGGGGCGCCCCTGGCGGGCACCCCCCTCCAAACTTCCCCGAGAAAGCAGGGTTCCGCGCAGTCCGGTTGGCGCCTTCCTCCGCCCGACCGCTCAAGTTCGGCAGAGCCCCAAGTGCACAGCGCGGCCCAGAGCAGGGACACCCCGCCCGGGCCCGAGCGCCCGCCCGAGGGGCTGCAGGCGCCCTGCTGGAGGCGGCCGGCCGCGGGCCGGCAGAGGGGGTGTGTCAGGCCGGCGCGGCCGGCAGGCCGAGGTCGGCAGCTCCTCGGGCGACCCGGCCCCGCGCCCGAGCTTCCCCGGGGCCTTGCCCGGCCGCTCACCGGCGCAGGAGCGAGTCTTCCAGATCTTCAGTAGCAGGATGACGATGGCCGCCAGGTGGGACAGGTCCCCGGTGAGCCGGAAGATGTTCATGGCGACGGCTGTCAGCGCGGTGGCCCCGGGGCTCGGTGGCTCAGGAGGCGTCGGCGGCCCCTGAAAGGAAGCGGCGAAGATGGCGAAAGCGGGCGCGACGTGGCCAGAGACGTGGCCGAACTGCCGGCGCGCGCGCGGGGGAGTCTGGGAGAGCGGGCGGTGCCAGGCCCCGCCCCCGTGCCGCCCCTTAAAGGGGCCGCGCCCGCGCGCGGGCCGGGGCCAGGGCGCTGCTTCGCGGCCTGGGTCCCGAGCGCCCAGTCATGTTTCTTCTTCCTGCTGCCAGGTGCCCGGTTTTCCCTCGAGTGCCAGCAGTTTTCTTTCATATTTGCAACGAAGTCCGCCCCACTGTGACCCAGCTCGAGCCATTGTGCCCTTAGACCCAGGCCCTCATGGAAGGGGACGGTGGCGGGCCACAGAGGGGCAGGCGGCCAGGACCCCGTCTGCAGGCAGCGGCAAGAATGGAACCATGGCGGGGCCAACACTCCACGCCTCTGTTGCATGCTCCATCATCTCATTTGCAAAGCCTCGTTTGCAAAGCACAAATTCAAAGATAACATTGAAAATCGGAGGATAGTGCCAGCGGGGTAGGAAGCCTTGAGTGTAGGGCCCTTTTGTTCCTGTGACACTGCACTGGTCGCTGGTCAGAGCCAGCTCTCAGATGCCACAAACAACACAAAATCCAAGGGGAAAGTGCCATATTCTTATTAACTGCCTCGCACACTTCTGTAATACTTTTTCTTAGGTTTTTTTCACTGTGCATTCTTTGGTCACCTCTGATATGACAACCAGTAGAAAATATTCTAGAGGGGGCAGAGAAAAATGATCCTTTCCTGCAGCATGGCTGAATTTTTTTCTGTTTACGTTTTGGAAACATTCCCTTCATCTTCTCGACCTGTTATTGGTAATATCGAGGAAATTTGGGGGACTGTTTACACAGGTGTGAATATAGATCAAGTTATTTTGTCTAGAAGCTATATGATTTCAGTGCATCTGGTTTTCTTACACAGGGACTAATGTGACACACTTGAATTGATGACACTAATTAACCAGCTTGTGGGCAGTCCTCCTTGTATTTCATGGTTTCGGTGATTTTAAGAAGATATAACCACAAATTAGTTGACACTTGCCTTAAAAGGGGAAGTTGGGCCTCCCCTGGTGGCGCCGAGGTTGAGCGCTGGGCTGTGGGGGCTGCCTGCAGCCTCTGCAGCGCAGGTTCCTTCCCCAGCCACCTGCAAGGGTCTCGCCAAAAAAAAAAAAAAAAAGGGGGGGGGACTTAATTCCATTCCCGTTGAGCATGGATTGGACTGAGTGACTCACTCCTAACAAATAGAAAGTGGCAGAGATGATAAGGTATCACTTCTAGGACTAGGTCATAAAAGGTATTCTTGCTTCCTCTTTGCTCTCTCTCAGATCACTCTCACTGAGGGAGGAAGCCAGCTGTCAGGCCTTGAACATACTCAGGTAGTCATATGAGCAGGTAGGTTCACATACAGAAATGAGTAATCTTGTGCACAGCCATCTAGGAGCTGGGGCCTCCTGCTAACAGTCACATGAGTGAGCCCCAGTCAAGTCTTCAGATGAATGCAACTTGGTAATCCCTTAACAGTAACTATTGGGGATCTATAATTTAAAAGAACCCAATAAAACCTGTGCTCAAAATGTAGAAGAGAATGCAACAGTTATTGAATAAGCACCAAATTAATATGCATCACAGGCAATATATTTATTTTAAAGACAGAAAGAAGGAAACCTCACTCTTTTTAATAGCCAGGCAGATACAATCCATTTCATACATGTGAGTGATCATTACACAAAAGAAAAAAAAGAAAATGTCTTGTATCTTTTTGCCAAGCAGAAAATTATTGCCTGGAACCAATTATTGCCTGGAGCTGTTACCGTGGCAAGTACAAGCAGGAAGTAATAATAACTTGGAGCCAACTCAAGTAGGAGCTGTATAACTTGGAGGTACATAGGCTAAAATCCTCCGGAGACATGGAGACAAAGTGCCCACATAGTCTCCCACTGGTAGCAGATTTCATAATGACATCCCCTTCTGCCAGGGACTGTCTTTGCTCCATCCACCTATGTGGGCTGGATGGCCAGCTGGGCACCCAGGGATCCAGCTCCTAAGTCCCATCTAGTCAACAGCTATCCCAGGCCCCTCCCAGGTGCAACTGTCATGGAATGGGTTCTCCAGAAGCAGATACCACTGAGAAAGTAGGGGGTATGAGATGTTCATTAGAAATCTACACTTGTGCCTCCCTAGTGGCGCAGGCGGTTAGGTTGAGCACCGCACTGTGAAGCAAGCTGCAGCCTCTGCAGCACCGGTTCGATCTCAGCCTGCCAGTGAGAATCCCATATGGCGCAGCAGACCTCTCCTGTCTCGCCTGCTGCTCCCCTCAGCAGTGTCTTCAGTCCATCTGCCTGTTCTGTTCCCCTCTCTGTCTCTGGTGAATCCTCTCACCCTCCCGCATCTCTGACCTGTACCCTGGTTCTTGTATAAAAATAAATAAATCTTAAAAAAAAAAAAAAGAAATCTACATTCATGGAAGGAAGTGGGGGAAGCAGGATTTGGGAGCAGGAGAAGTCAAAATGGCATGCAGGTCCAACAAACCCACATGATGGGCTGTTCTAGACTGCATGTGGTCCATTAAGAGTGTCCCTCTTCAAGGCAAAATGGCCTTGCGTGACAGGGCTCTCGGTAGCTGAGGCCAGTCCTGAATGCTGATACCTGGAGCCCCACAGCCGGGCAGCAAGCCCTTTCTTGAAAGGAGATCTAGGGAGTGAATCTATTTATCTGCCACAGAAGTTGTGCGGCTAGTGGGGGAAAAGTAAGTTGTGAAGTCTAGAGGGCCAGCAGCTAATCTGCAAAATAACCCTTTCTCCAGTAAAAGCTTAAAATGGGAAGTGGCGGTCTCAGTTACAGAGAGCTACTTTGCCTAAGGTCACACCCTTGTGGGACAGCCACACACAGAGACCAGCATAAAGGCCAGGCCATGCAGCCCACCACAGCCATGCTAGGGGACAATCCAGAGTTCTCCTCAGGTGAGCTGAGCCTGCATTAGGCCTGCATTGAGTTCCTTTCCCTTCCCAGGAATTGATCCCCAATAAGCCTCTTGCACCCCAAGCTCTATCGCAATGTCTGCCTCCAGAGAGCCCAACCTTTGATACCTCTGATGCCAAATGCTCCAGGACATCAGGATATTGCCTCTGGCCTTACACCTGGTACAAGGTGAGTTGGCACAGGTATTTCGGAACCACACACAGAGAGAGCTAGCAGTCACATTGATGGGACTTTGTGGCCCAAAAATGAGTCCCACAAAACCTAAACCAAATGTACACTCAATGCAACTTTCCCTGAGCCAGACCCAAAAAAGGCCTGGGACCTCTTCATTAACACTCAGTGTGTTAATGAGGGACAGAGAGATAGAGACAGTGATCTTAACCAACTGTGGCTCAAAATGTCTCACTTTTACATGATCTGCAAAAACATGACCCTGTGAGTGCACCCTGAGAGTCCCTCGCAGGGCCTTGGAAGTGGTCTGCGTAAGTGAGGGCCCAGGAGCTTCATGGTAAATGAACTGCTAGGAGGCATTTTGTCCTGTTGTTTTTTAATTTGTACCATATATATTATAAAATTGCATCATCTTTTTATTTTTATTTTTTTAAGATTTATTTACTTATGCATACAAGAGCTGGGGGACAGGTCAGAGATGTGGGGGGGTGAGAGGATTCACTAGAGACAGAGTTGGGAACAGAACAGGCAGATAGAACAAAGTACACTGCTGAGGGGAGCAGCGGGCTAGTCAGGAGAGGTCTGCTGAGCCATGTGTGTTGCTCTCTGGCCGGGGGATCGAACTTGTGCAGCAGTGGCTGTGGATAGCTTCTTAGGTTGTGTCTTAACCCCTTGTGCCTCCAGGGAGGCCCCTGCATAATCTTTTTAAATGACTTAATAAATTATAACCATTTTTTTTCATCATTTCTCCTGAACACCATTGGTACTTCCTGGGTACTTCTTAAACTTTTAGTGTGTCCTTTTTCAACAAAGATACCTTTATCTTTACTCAAAAGGTAAAGATAAAGGGGAGGGGGAATCACCAATAAGTTCAAAAACATGGAGATAATCATAGTAAATGGGCACCTGGTTTGGGGGTGGGGGGATCTTAAAGACAACTCTCAGTTCCCAGGGAAGATCCAAGTGGTAGAGTCTTGCTGATTGTACAGTAGGTTGGAGGGATTTAAACAGTGTCTTAAATCGGGGCTTCAGCAAATGTAGACTTGTTTGGGAAGATTCTGGGGAAGCAATGGAAGGCCAGCTCCAGACAAGGATGCCCAAGGGGGTTCCCTGTTCATGGTGAGTGAGAAAGGGGTAACTGGTGCTAGAACAACCAGGCAGGAAGATCTGGATTGATGAGCTGGTCCAGCTGAACCACGGGAGTCTGAAATAGGAGCTTTAGATGTTTTGCACTGAGGCTTCTCTGACACAGCAAAACCTGGGGAAGGGGAGAACTCTGCTTCTTTCCTTCATCACAGAGTGAGTGACAAGTGGTTATGAGTCTGGGAGATGTGACTGGAGGCCTCTGAAGCTTCTGTCCCACATCCCCCAGGTGAGGTGGAGGGACATCAGCACATAGAGTCATAGGCTCTGAAGGTGTCTGAGGGCGAAACCCTCAATTAACAAACTAGAGGAGGCATCACACAAAAAGGAGAAGGTCTTGTCTTAACCTTAAATCTGGGTGAAGGGAGCAAAATGAGAAAATCTCCCCTGAGAATTCTTAACACGAGTCCACTTCAAGCTGGAATTCATGGTACCTGTGTGGCCCAACCCCTGTCCCACCTCCGAGAGAAATGCACTTTAAACCTAGACTTTAAAGAATTACCATAGGTAAGCTAAAAATGATAAGAAGTCCCAATAAAATATTACGAATATTTGTAAAATATTACAAATATTTAAATATTTTAAATATTTTAATATTTCCCAATAAAAATATTACACACACACCCCCCACAGGGAAACAAGCCCTGGTCAGCAGAAACAGCAGAAATGAGAAACTGCAACATCAGACCTGCAAAAACTTCAGTTATTGGAATTAGCAGACACAGAATATTAAGTGTG